TCCACACAACATCATGGATGCATGCCGGGTCCAAGCAAGAACATCTGCTGGACTACATAGTGCCGGACCAGCGGATGCGAGCCCATGTCCTTGACACCAGGACCTACCGTGGAGCTGATCTGCCCTCTGACCATCGACTTGTCATCTGTAAGATGCGCCGCCCATTCTTCCGCTCCGGTGGTGGGTGTACATCCAGGACCCCATTCCAACCAAAAGTGGCCTGGTCTCGGTTATCTGATGAAAGTTGCAAGTGAGAATTTCATCATTGCCTGCGGCTGGGGTTGGCATCGTCCCGCACTCCTCCTGATGTCGAGGGTAAATAGGCGAGGTTTAGAACTGTGACTCATGTGGCTGCAATGTCTGCTTTGGGTACGTGGTCAGGACCTCCCCAGAGACCCTGGCTGACAGAGGAGGTGTTCAGGATGGTTGAGAAAAAACGACAGGCCCACTGTCATCGGCTACAGAATCCCACGTCAGAGAATGAGGCTTACGCAACCTTCACTCGGAGGTTCGGAGAGCCGTGAGGCGCTGCAAGGATGAGTGGTGGTCGCGGGTTGCTGAGGAGATGGAGTCTGCCTCAGTGGCCCGCGATCACAAATCTCTATTTAACTCCATCAAAAAAGTAACCTGCAGTGCCACACCTATTACCATCATTACGGGAAAAAACGGTGATCCAATCTCTGACCCCCAGGAACAGGTTTGCAGATTTGCTGAGCATTTCTGTGAGGTCCTGGGGGAGGGAAAATCCCTCAGCCAGGAAAACATCGTGGCACAAAGTGAGGATGACCCTGCTGAGGCTGCGGTGCCTCAAATATTGGAAGTCACCCCCTGTGAGTGGCTGGCTGAAGTGCCATCTGTTCAGGAAGTACTGAGGGCGATCCGGAGTCTGAGACCAGGAAAGGCAACGGGCAAAGATGATCTCTCAAGCGAAATGCTGAGGGAAGGTGGAGTTTGTGCACAGACTGCCCTATATGACATCAAAACAACAGTCTGGACCACTGGATGGGTTCCGCAGGATTGGAAGGATGCCCTGGTGGTCCCCCTCTTTAAGAAGGGGGACCGCACAGACTGTAACAACTACAGGGGCATCTCACTCCTCAGTGTGCTGGGAAAGGTCCTGGCAAGGATTATTCAACATCGCCTTGCCAGGTACGCTGAGGAGAGGCTTGCGGAGCCCCAATGCGGTTTCAGGAAAGGGCGGTCCTGCACAGATGCCATATTCTCTGTCCGTCTGCTACAGCAGAGGTGTAGGGAATTCCAGCAAGACCTACATCTCTGCTTTATTGACCTGGTCAAGGCCTATGATACCATCAATAGGCCTGGGCTCTGGGTTGTTCTTCGTGCTTTTGGAGTACCTGACCCTCTGCTCACAATCATTAAAGACGTTCATGATGGTGAGCGGGCCCGGGTAAAACTACGTGGCCGGGAGTCCGAGCCTTTCCCTGTACACCTTGGGGTGCGACAGGGATGTCCTCTGGCTCCCACATTATTTAACATCTATTTCGACCACGTAGTTCGTGAAGCCTTCAATAGCTGTACTGGGGGAATCTCCATATGGTACAGATATAATGGGAGGCTGATCGATGCCCGGGTGCGGTCAAGGGATGGCTCCCTATTGCTCAACCACGTTATGTATGCTGATGATTTGGTAATAGCTGCTCATTCAGAGGAGGAGTTGGAGACGCTGCTGCTGAGACTAGAGCGTGCCACTAAGAGATGGGGCCTTACCATCAGCCCCACCAAAACTAAGCACCTGCCTGGGTATTTTGTACCATCAGACACTCCACCCCCACAACTCCCAATCGGTGACGGGGCAGTTGTGGAGAGAGTGGAGAGTTTCCCATACCTGGGAAGTGTGCTTATGACCGGCTCCAGTTTAACAGCAGAGGTCTCACTCCGAATCAGTCGAGCAGCTATCTATTCATCGGTTGCGTAACGCTGTGTGGACGCTACCTGGTCTGTCGCTCCGCACTAAGCTTCAGGTCTTCTCGGCCACGGTCATTCCCTCCCTTCTCTACGCTTGCGAAACGTGGACCCCCCTAATGGGACATCTTCGCCGGTTAGAAACATTTAGGCTGGCCTGCCTACGATCCATCCTGGGTTTAACCAGACTGGATTGTGTGAGGAGCTCACAAATCCTTGAAAGATCTGGGCAAGGTCCCATCGGTGAGCTCCTCCGGCGGGCAAGGCTGCGATGGCTGGGTCATGTAGCCCGCATGCCCAGCCACCGCATGCCGAAACAGCTTTTGTTCGGCCGGATCGAGGGGGCTAAACGGGCGCGGCACAGGCTAGAGAAGAGATGGAGTGATGTGGTACAGAAGGACGTGGAGCTGAGTGGACTTGCCGATGACTGGTACCAGCGGTGTCAAGATCGGCCTCTGTGGAGGAGGCTCGTGAAGGACGCTACTGGGCAGTTGGAGGTAGTCGCCCTCCAACAACAACGGAGGGCAGAGGAGCGACGCTCACAACAACGAGCGGAGCGCCGGGTGGCTAAAGCACAGCAGGTTGGCACAGTAGGAGGCACAGGTGGTGCATCAGCCAGTCATCTCAGTCAGTCGACCCGTGGCACCTGGGTCTGCCCCGTGACCTCCTGCCAGCGGGCGTTCGACACTCCACGTGGCCTCAAGGTGCTCATGTTCTGGCACAAGCGTCGTGGTGACGTCACCGCCACTTAGTGGCGAATGGCGGTTGTTGTTGTTGTGTGATGGTGGTGGTGGTGGTTCAAGTGAGTGTTGTGTGATGGTGATGGTGGTGATGATGTTCAAGTGAGTGGTGTGTGATGATGTTCAAGTGAGCGGTGTGTGATGGTGGTGATGTTGTTCAAGTGAGTGTTGTTGTGATGGTGGCGGTGGCACCGACCTTGCCGATGAAGGCTGCCATGTCTCTGGACAGCACGGTCTCTTCCAGGCGGAGTGATCCGGGACAATCGCCGCACGGCGGTGACGGCGGTGACGGCGGTGACGGCGGTGACGGCGGTGGTTCAAAGCGCAGCAACGTCGCATCGTAGTCCTGCAGTGCAGACACCGCAGCCTCACCACAGTCTCACCACAGCCTCACCACAGTCTCACCACGGCCTCACCACAGCCTCACCGCAGTCTCACCACAGTCTCACCACAGCCTCACCACAGTCTCACCACGGCCTCACCACAGCCTCACCGCAGTCTCACCACAGTCTCACCACAGCCTCACCACAGTCTCACCGCAGCCTCACCACAGCCTCACCACAGCCTCATCACAGTCTCAGCGCACGCCATCTCATTACACCGCATCGTCCGTGTCACTGTGGGTGGTGTCACTGTGTCACAGTTGTGCGGCAATATCTTTTCATCGGTTGCGTAACGCTGTGTGGAAGCTACCTGGTCTGTCGCTCCGCACTAAGCCTCAGGTCTTCTCGGCCACGGTCATTCCCTTCCTTCTCTACGCTTGCGAAACGTGGACCCCCCTAATGGAACATCTTCGCCGGTTAGAAACATTTAGGCTAGCCTGCCTACGATCCATCCTGGGTTTAACCAGGCTGGTTTGTGTGAGGAGCTCAAAAATCCTTGAAATGCGATGGCTGGGTCATGTAGCCCGCATGCCCAGCCACCGCATGCCGAAACAGCTTTTGTTCGGCCGGATCGAGGGGGTTAAACGGGTGCGGCACGGGCTAGAGAAGGGATGGAGTGATGTGGTACAGGAGGACGTGGAGATGAGTGGACTTGCCGATGACTGGTACCAGCGGTGTCAAGATTGGCCTCTGTGGAGGCTTGTGAAGGACGCTGCTACTGGGCAGTTGGAGGCATTCGCCCTCCAACAACAACGGAGGGCGGAGGAGCGACACTCACAACAATGAGCGGAGCGCTGGGTGGCTAAAGCATAGCAAGTTGGCACAGTCAGTCGACCCGTGGCACCTGGGTCTGCCCCGTGACATCCTGCCCGCTGGCGTTCGACACTTCACGCGGCCTCAGGATGCACATAGCCTGGCACAAGCGTCGTGGTGATGTCACCGCCACTTAGTGGTGAATGGCGGTTGTTGTTGTTGGTGTCACTGTGGGTGGTGTCACTGTGGGTGATGTCACTGTGGGTGGTGTCACTGTGGGTGGTGTCACTGTGGGTGATGTCACTGTGGGTGGTGTCACTGTGGGTGATGTCACTGTGGGTGGTGTCACCGTGGGTGGTGTCACCGTGGGTGGTGTCACCGTGGGCGGTATCACTGTGGGTGATGTCACTGTGGGTGGTGTCACTGTGGGTGGTGTCACTGTGGGTGGTGTCACTGTGGGTGATGTCACTGTGGGTGGTGTCACCGTGGGTGGTGTCACCGTGGGTGGTATCACTGTGGGTGGTGTCACTGTGGGTGGTGTCACTGTGGGTGGTGTCACTGTGGGTGGTGTCACAGTGGGTGATGTCACTGTGGGTGATGTCACCACCTCACCCGATCCTCCTCCCCCCCACCCTGCTCCGTGTAGTCGGTGGCCGCATTTACGAGCGGCTCCGCGAGGCTCCACCTGCCCACTTTGTCTCCATGGCGACGCCGTTTCAACGCCAACGCCAAGAGAAGGGAGCCTAGAACGCCTGTGCGGGGGTCACGGGGTCACGAGGTCGGAGCGGGGGTCGTGGGTCAGGATGAGGTGTGGGGGCAGGGCGGGGTCACGGGGTCGGAGCGGGGTCGTGGGTCAAGATGAGGTGCCGGGGTCACGGGGTCGGAGCGGGGGTCGTGGGTCAGGATGAGGTGCGGGAGGAGGGCGGATGAGGAGAGGGAGGAGGGGGAGGGAGGAGAAGGAGGAGTGAGTGAGTGAGGAGTGAGTGAGTGAAGGAGAAGGAGGAGTGAGTGAGTGAGTGAGGAGTGAGTGAGGGAGGAGGAGGAGGAGGAGAAGGAGGAGTGAGTGAGTGAGGAGTGAGTGAGTGAAGGAGAAGGAGGAGTGAGTGAGTGAGTGAGGAGTGAGTGAGGGAGGAGGAGGAGGAGGAGGAGAAGGAGTGAGTGAGTAGTAGGAGTGAGTGAGGAGCTGACCCAGTAAGATCACCAACACGACGATGGCCGAGACGGCGCTGGCGGCTCCGCTGGCGGCGCTGGCGTGGAGGCAGCGGCCGCGGCGGTCGCACGCGGCGCAGAGCGCCACCTGCAGCTGCCGCACGGCGCTCAGCGGCGGCGTGCCCGAGTCCCCGACGAGCAGCGCCACCCAGTGGAGCCCCTCCGCCAGCGACGACTTGGCCAGCAGCTGCGAGCTGTTGCCTGCGCCGCCGCCGCCGCCGGGGGGACGCAGCACGTGGACAGACGCGGGGCCGTCGGAGGTGCCGGGGGGAGGGGCGAGGAAGTAAACAACAACAACATTATTCTTGGTTCTATTCGGTAAAGTCACCACGTAGGTAAAAAATAAAACAACAAAAATCACGACGTTTTGGCCACAACACAAGTGGCCTTCATCAGGTGAAGGGACCGCACTCCAACGCTGTCCTCATGACAGCACGGTCCCTTCACCTGATGAAGGCCACTTGTGTTGTTCTTTTAATTTTACCTACGTGACTTTACCGAATAGAACCAAAGAGCATGGATCTTTGCAGTCACAAAAGCTTCAAATCTAGAAACAATATTCTTGGTTCTTTCGGTAAAGTCACCACGTAGAAAGGGAAACAATAAAATAATTTAAAAATAAAACGATGAAATTCTCACGACGTTTCGACTGCAGCACAAGCAATCATCGTCAGGTGTGGAAACCACAGCAAGAAAAACCACAGCAAGAAAATTTCGAATGTTCTCGCTGTGTTTTTCACACCTGACGATGATTGCTTGTGTTGCAGTCGAAACGTCGTGATAATTTTATTGTTTTATATTTTTATTATTTTATTGTTTCCCTTCTACGTGGTGGTGACTTTACCGAGAGAAGCAAGAATTTGAATCCCTGCAGTCAGGAAAGATTTAAATCAAAACAACAATGGCAAGCGTCACAGAAATTAGTTTGTCAATGTAAATGACGACAATGACAACGACGACGACGATGATTTAAATTTTGATTTAAAGCTTTCGTGACTGCAAGGATTCATCTTCTTTGGTTCTTTCGGTAAAGTCACGTAGAATGAGAATAAAATAATAAAATAACACAATGAAATTCTCACGACGTTTCGGCCATAACGCAAGCGGCCGTCTTCAGGTGAAAGGTACAGAACTGTCGGGACGACAGAGCTTCAATGAACGATGTTAAGATTCGTAGCGACTTTTAAGCTGGTTGGGAGAATTGAGGCACCTTGACAAAGGTGTTTACATATCAAATAGCTGAGGGATTAGCTTGTGACTGGTCACAGGAATGGCTATGTTAAAGTCAAAACCTACACATCCACAGAGGCAACTAGTAATATAGCATTGAAATAGCTAAGGGATTAGCTTGTGACTGGTCACAGAAATAGATGTTAAAGTAAAGGCCTACACATCCACAGAGCTTCTATGAACGCTGTTGAGATTCATAGCGACTTTAAGCTGGTTGGGAGAGGTGAGGCACCTTGACAAAGGGGTTAGCTTGTGCAAATAGCTGAGGGATTAGCTTGTGACTGGTCACAGGAATGGCTATGTTAAAGTCAAAACCTACACTACCAAAGAGGCAACTAGTAATTTAGCATTGAAATAGCTAAGTGATTATCTTGTGACTGGTCACAGAAATAGATGTTAAAGTCAAAGCCTACACATCCAGAGAGGCACCTCGTACATGGACGCAAAAGGGGGCTGCAACAAATCAACTGTCATACAGTAAACCGATGCGAAAAACCTAATTCTAAATGACATCAATATAATAAATGTACTGAATATATTCTTCAATAAGCTGAGCTATTAACATTAACTGGGTATACACTACACTATATAATGAATACCATATAGTAAACCAATAAAAAAAATATATAAACTACCTCAATGATATATCACAATGTTATATGGTGAAAAAACGGGTGGATTCTTACCTTCCACTTCAGCACCACGGACAGCTACGAGCCCCGTTCTTCCATAAGGTCGGGCGTAGAGTGGCAGTCTGGATGGCGTCAGTTTCGAATTTTTCCATGAATACGTTGGCTACAACCGGAGATAGGGGGGAGCCCATTGGGGTGCCCTCAGTTTGTTTGTAGAAAGTTCCATTCCAGGTGAAGTATGTGTTGGTTAAGCAATGTCTCACCAGGGGGGGTACATCAGTGTGCAGTCCTTGATGAACCAGGTCTTCAATGATAGCAATGGTGTCAGGTACCGGAACTTTGGTGAACAAGGACACCACATCAAAACTGACAAGCAGGTCGTCTGGGGACAGGGAAATGCCTTTGATAATCGATACCAAGTGAGTGGAATTTAGTACCGCAGAGGTGTTTTTTCCAGTGAAAGGTCGTAGTATATCAGAAAGAAAACGTGCCAGTTTATAGGTGGGGGAGTTGATAGTAGAGACGATGGGACGAAGGGGTGTATCTTTCGATTTAAAGCTTTCGTGACTGCAAGGATTCATCTTCTTTGGTTCTTTCGGTAAAGTCACGTAGAATGAGAATAAAATAATAAATTGATCAAATAAAATAACACAATAATATTCTCACGAAGTTTCGGCCACAACACAAGCGGCCTTCATCAGGTGAAGGGACGAGACTGTCTGGAGGACAGCGCTGGAGTGAAAAAAGCCACGCTCAGATCGTGACCTTTAAGCTGTGTGAGAAGAAACAAAGCGCCTTGACAAAAGAATTAGCATAGAATTTAGCATTGAAATGGCTGAGTGATTAGCTTGTGACTGGTCACAGAAATGGCTATGTTAAAGTTAAAGCATACACATCCGCAGAGACACCCCTTGACAAAGGAATTAGCATAGAATTTAGCATTGAAATAGCTAAGTTAAAGCATACACATCCGCAGAGGCACCCCTTGACAAAGGAATTAGCATAGAATTTAGCATTGAAATAGCTGAGTGATTAGCTTGTAAGAGGTCACAGAAATAGCTATGTTAAAGTCAGAGCATACACATTCACAGAGGCACCTAGTACAAATCAAACAGGAGAATTTAGCATTTAAATAACTAGGCGAATTTAACATTGAAATAACTGAGTGATTAGCTTGTGACTGGTCACAGAAATGGCTATGTTGAAGTCAAGGCCTACACATCTGAGCTATTCACAGTAACTGGGTATACACTACAATATATAATGAATACTACATAGTGAACCAATAAAAAACTAAAATATAAATTACCTCAATGTTATCAATAAACTCTATATATTCTCCAATCAGCTAAGCTACCAACAAAAAGTCGTTATATATCACAATGCTATATGGCGAAAAAAATGGGTGGATTCTTACCCTCAACTTTAGCAACACGGATAGCTACGGGCCCCGTTCAGACGGACGAGTTCATCCATGGTCGGAACAGAGGAGGGGGAGAGAGACAGCTGCGAGGCGCTGTTATACTCCATGTTGTAAACCATACCATTAACCGTGGTGTGAGAGGTATTAAAAGTCAATGTCAGCGAAAGAGCTGCGGTCTGTAGGTCATCGTAAAATACAATTAATTAAGAATGGAAATGGTTTAAAACATCTTTCCAATGGTTACTAAGCCAGAATCCATCTTCTCGGTTGAAATTGTCTCTGTGCTTGTATATGTCAATGGCCTCATCAACGAATCTCTCATGGTAGCCGGTTGGTTTGCAAAGAACCTCCGTCTTGGAGCAGTCAATGTCATGTGAGCCCACTGAATTATAACAATGATCTGTCACGGCAGAGGAGTTCGTTCTACCGTGTTTCAAGTCTGCTTTATGTTCGCGGATGCGGTCCGAGATATGTTGTTTGGTTTCTCCAATGTAGCTACTACCACAGAGGCACTTTAGTTTGTAAACGCCCGGGTACTGTATGTCTGGAACAGCATCTTTTACAGATGGAACTAGATCACGGATTTTATGTAATGTGTTGAATCGGACCTGGATCTTGTGTTTATTCAGGATTTTGGAGATCTTTTTAGTGACCCCTGCAATGTAGGGTAAGGTGATGGTTTTGAGTGCCTCCACAAGAGGATCCTTCTTCATGACTGGAGTGATGGCTTTGCGGATTGTGTAGTCGGAGTAACCATTAGCCCTGAGAGCCTGGTGTACGTGCTTGAGTTCACTGGTAATGTGTTCCTGGTCGGAAATGCATTGGGCTCTATGGTATAGAGTCTTGATGATGGAGTTCTTCTGGGATGGATGGTGGTGGCAATCCGGTTTCAAGTAAGCATCTGTATGGGTAGCTTTCCTGTAGACAGAGTGGCTCATTGAACCATCATGTCTCCTTTTAATTAAGACATCCAAAAAGGGTAGTTTGCCATTTTTTTCGACCTCCATGGTAAATCTGATGGCTGGGTGTATGGAATTGATGTGGTCGCGGAATTGGTCTAGAGCAGGCTGGCCATGTGGCCAGATGACAAAGGTGCCATCCACGTACCTCTTCCATAAGGTCGGGCGTAGAGTGGCAGTCTAGATGGCGTCAGTTTCAAATTTTTCCATGAATACGTTGGCTACAACCGGAGATAGGGGGGACCACATCAATTCCATACACCCAGCCATCAGATTTACCATGGAGGTCGAAAAAGATGGCAAACCACCCTTTTTGGATGTCTTATTTAAAAGGAGACATGATGGTTCAATGAGCCACTCTGTCTACAGGAAAGCTACCCATACAGATGCTTACTTGAAACCGGATTGCCACCACCATCCATCCCAGAAGAACTCCCTCATCAAGACTCTATACCATAGAGCCCAATGCATTTCCGACCAGGAACACATTACCAGTGAACTCAAGCACGTACACCAGGCTCTCAGGGCTAATGGTTACTCCGACTACACAATCCGCAAAGCCATCACTCCAGTCATGAAGAAGGATCCTCTTGTGGAGTCACTCAAAACCATCACCTTACCCTACATTGCAGAGGTCACTAAAAAGATCTCCAAAATCCTGAATAAACACAAGATCCAGGTCCGATTCAACACAGTACATAAAATCCGTGATCTAGTTCCATCTGTAAAAGATGCTGTTCCAGACATACAGTACCCGGGCGTTTACAAACTAAAGTGCCTCTGTGGTAGTAGCTACATTGGAGAAACCAAACAACATATCTCGGACCGCATCCGCGAACATAAAGCAGACTTGAAACACGGTAGAACGAACTCCTCTGCCATGACAGATCATTGTTATAATTCAGTGGGCTCACATGACATTGACTGCTCCAAGACGGAGGTTCTTTGCAAACCAACCGGCTACCATGAGAGATTCGTTGATGAGGCCATTCACATATGCAAGCACAGAGACAATTTCAACCGAAATTGTCTCTGGATTCTGGCTTAGAAACCATTGGAAAGATGTTTTAAACCATTTCCGTTCTTAATTAATTGTATTTTACGATGACCTTCAGACCGCAGCTCTTTCGCTGACATTGACTCTTAATACCTCTCACACCACGGTTAATGGTATGGTTTACAACATGGAGTATAACAGCGCCTCGCAGCTGTCTCTCTCCCCCTCCTCTGTTCCGACCATAGATGAACTCGTCCGTCTGAACGGGGCCCGTAGCTATCCGTGTTGCTAAAGTTGAGGGTAAGAATCCACCCATTTTTTCGCCATATAGCATTGTGATATATAACGACTTATTGTTGGGAGCTTAGCTGATTGGAGAATATATAGAGTTTATTGATAACATTGAGGTAATATATATTTTAGTTTTTTTTATTGGTTCACTATATATTATTCATTATATATTGTAGTGTATACCCAGTTACTGTGAATAGCTCAGATGTGTAGGCCTTGACTTCAACATAGCCATTTCTGTGACCAGTCACAAGCTAATCACTCAGTTATTTCAATGCTAAATTCGCCTAGTTATTTCAATGCTAAATTCTCCTGTTTGATTTGTACTAGGTGCCTCTGTGAATGTGTATGCTCTGACTTTAACATAGCTATTTCTGTGACCAGTTACAAGCTAATCACTCAGCTATTTCAATGCTAAATTCTATGCTAATTCCTTTGTCAAGGGGTGCCTCTGCGGATGTGTATGCTTTAACTTAGCTATTTCAATGCTAAATTCTATGCTAATTCCTTTGTCAAGAGGTGCCTCTGCGGATGTGTATGCTTTAACTTTAACATAGCCATTTCTGTGACCAGTCACAAGCTAATCACTCAGCCATTTCAATGCTAAATTCTATGCTAATTCTTTTGTCAAGGTGCTTTGTTTCGTCTCACACAGCTTAAAGGTTGCGATCTGAGCGTGGCTTTTTTCACTCCAGCGCTGTCCTCCAGACAGTCTCGTCCCTTCACCTGATGAAGGCCGCTTGTGTTGTGGCCGAAACGTCGTGAGAATATTATTGTGTTATTTTATTTTATCAATTTATTATTTTATTCTCATTCTACGTGACTTTACCGAAAGAACCAAAGAAGAAGGGGTGTATCTTCTTTGTGTATCTTTGGGAGGCCATATAATCTTGGTGGTCTGGCAGCAGAGGGTTTCAATGAGAACTGTTTGGTCTGATCAATTAATGCTGTTGACTTTAACATAGCCATTTCCGTGACCAGTCACAAGCTACACACACGTACACACACACACGCACAAGCTAATCCCTCAGCTATTTGATATGTAAACCCCTTTGTCAAGGTGCCTCACTTCTCCCAACCAGCTTAAAGTCGCTACGAATCTTAACAGCGTTCATTGAAGCTCTGTGGATGTGTAGGCCTTTACTTTAACATCTATTTCTGTGACCAGTCACAAGCTAATCCCTTAGCTATTTCAATGCTAAATTACTAGTTGCTTCTGTGGATGTGTAGGTTTTGACTTTAACATAGCCATTCCTGTGACCAGTCACAAGCTAATCCCTCAGCTATTTAATATGTAAACACCTTTGTCAAGGTGCCTCACTTCTCCCAACCAGCTTAAAGTCGCTACAAATCTTAACATCGTTCATTGAAGCTCTGTCGTCCCGACAGGTCTGTACCTTTCACCTGTGGCCGAAATGTCATGAGAATTTTATTGTGTTATTTTATTATTTTATTCTCATTCTACGTGAACTTACCGAAAGAACAAAAGAAGACGACAATGATGACGACGTTGATGATGACGACGATGACGACAATGATGACAATGATGATGACGACGATGACGACGACGTTCATAATGACGATGATGACGGCGATGACGACGACAACAATGACGACGATGACGACGTCGATAATGACAATGACGACGACGTTGATGATGACGACGATGACGACAATGATGATGACAATGACGACGACGGCGAGCGCCATCTCCCGAGCGGTGCGTTCCTCCCCACCCCCGGCCGCGCTCACCGTCGACCTGGCGGAGCGTCCAGTCGTCGTCGCCGCCGCCACCGGGCGCCAGCCGGAAGCGGAAGGGGCGGCCGTTGGGGTCCTCGTCGGCGTCCGAGGCGACGACGGCGACGCCGGTGCGGGGGCACGCGGCGGCCCCACGCGGCCAGACGGCGGCCGTGGGGGCGTTGTCGTTGACGTCGCTCAGCAGCAACTCCAGCGTGGCGGTACCGCTCGCGACGGGGGAGCCTGCTCACACACACGCACACATACACACGTACACACACACGTACACACACACACACGTACACACACGTACACACACACATGTACACACACAACAACAACCGCCATTCGCCACTAAGTGGCGGTGACGTCACCACGACGCTTGTGCCAGGCTATGTGCACCCTGAGGCCACGTGAAGTGTCGAACGCCCGCTGGCAGGAGGTCACGGGGCAGACCCAGGTGCCACGGGTCGACTGACTGAGATGACTGGCTGATGCACCACCTGTGCCCCCTACTGTGCCAACCTGCTGTGCTTTAGCCACCCGGCGCTCCGCTCGTTGTTCTGAGCGTCGCTCCTCCGTCCTCCGTTGTTGTTGGAGGGCGACTGCCTCCAACTGCCCAGTAGCATCCTTCACGAGCCTCCTCCACAGAGGCCGATCTTGACACCGCTGGTACCAGTCATCGGCAAGTCCACTCAGCTCCACGTCCTCCTGTACCACATCACTCCATCTCTTCTCTAGCCCGTGCCGCGCCCGCTTAGCCCCCTCAATCCGGCCAAACAAAAGCTGTTTCGGCATGCGGTGGCTGGGCATGCGGGCTACATGACCCAGCCATCGCAGCCTTGCCTGCCGGAGCTCACCGATGGGACCCTGCCCAGATCTTTCAAGGATTTGTGAGCTCCTCACACAATCCAGTCTGGTTAAACCCAGGATGGATCGTAGGCAGGCCAGCCTAAATGTTTCTAACCGGCGAAGATGTTCCATTAGGGGGGTCCACGTTTCGCAAGCGTAGAGAAGGGAGGGAATGACCGTGGCCGAGAAGACCTGAAGCTTAGTGCGGAGCGACAGACCAGGTAGCTTCCACACAGCGTTACGCAACCGATGAAAAGATATTGCCACTCGACTGATTCGGAGTGAGACCTCTGCTGTTAAACTGGAGCCAGTCATAAGCACACTGCCCAGGTATGGGAAACTCTCCACTCTCTCCACAACTGCCCCATCACCGATTGGGAGTTGTGGGGGTGGAGTGTCCGATGGTACAAAATACCCAGGCAGGTGCTTAGTTTTGGTGGGGCTGATGGTAAGGCCCCACCTCTTATTGGCACGCTCCAGTCTCAGCAGCAGCGTCTCCAACTCCTCCTCTGACTGAGCAGCTATTACCAAATCATCAGCATACATAACGTGGTTGAGCAATAGGGAGCCATCCCTTGACCGCACCCGGGCATCGATTAGCCTCCCATTATATCTGTACCATATGGAGATTCCCCCGGTACAGCTATTGAAGGCTTCACGAACTACGTGGTCAAAATAGATGTTAAATAATGTGGGAGCCAGAGGACATCCCTGTCGCACCCCAAGGTGTACAGGGAATGGCTCTGACTCCCGGCCACGTAGTTTTCCCCGGGCCCGCTCACCATCATGAAGGTCCTTAATGATCGTGAGCAGAGGGTCAGGTACTCCAAAAGCACGAAGAACGACCCAGAGCCCAGGCCTACTGATGGTATCATAGGCCTTGACCAGGTCAATAAAGCAGAGATGTAGGTCTTGTTGGAATTCCCTACACCTCTGCTGTAGCAGACGGACAGAAAATATGGCATCTGTGCAGGACCGCCCTTTCCTGAAACCGCATTGGGGCTCCGCAAGCCTCTCCTCAGCGTGCCTGGCAAGGCGATGCTGAATAATCCTTGCCAGGACCTTTCCCGGCACACTGAGGAGTGAGATGCCCCTGTAGTTGTTACAGTCTGTGCGGTCCCCCTTCTTAAAAAGGGGGACCACCAGGGCATCCTTCCAATCCTGCGGAACCCGTCCAGTGGTCCAGACTGTTGTTATGATGTCATATAGGGCAGTCTGTGCACAAACGCCACCCTCCCTCAGCATTTCGCTTGGGAGATCATCTCTGCCCGCTGCCTTTCCTGGTCTCAGACTCCGGATCGCCTTCATACTTCCTCAGCAGATGGTACCTCAGCCAGCCACTCACAGGGGGTGACTTCTTCCAATATTTGAGGCACCGCAGCCTCAGCAGGGTCATCCTCACTTTGTGCCACGATGTTTTCCTGGCTGAGGGATTTTCCCTCCCCCAGGACCTCACAGAAATGCTCAGCAAATCTGCGAACCTGTTCCTGGGGGTCGGAGATTGGATCACCATTTTTTCCCCTAATGATGGCAATAGGTGTGGCGCTGCAGGTTACTTTTTTGATGGAGTTAAATAGAGATTTGTGATCACGGGCCACTGAGGCAGACTCCATCTCCTCAGCAACCCGCGACCACCACCCATCCTTGCAGCGCCTCACGGCTCTCCGAACCTCCGAGCGAAGGCTGTGGTAAGCCTCCTCATTCTCTAACGTGGGATTCTGTAGCCGATGACAGTGGGCCTGTCGCTTTTTCTCAACCATCCTGAACACCTCCTCTGTCAGCCAGGGTCTCTGGGGAGGTCTGGACCGCGTACCCAAAGCAGCCATTGCAGCTGCATGAGTCACAGTCCTAAACCTCGCCCATTTACCCTCGACATCAGGAGGAGTCGGGGACGATGCCAATCCCAGCCGCAAGCGATGATGAAATTCTCGCTTGCAACTTTCATCAGATAACTGAGACCAGGCCACTTTATGTTGGAATGGGGTCCTGGGTGTACACCCACCACCGGAGTGGAAGAATGGCAGGCGCATCTTACAGATGACTAGTCGATGGTCAGAGGGCAGATCAGCTCCACGGTAGGTCCTGGTGTCAAGGACATGGGCTCGCATTCGCTGGTCCGTCACTATGTAGTCCAGCAGATGTTCTTGCTTGGACCCGGCATGCATCCATGATGTTGTGTGGATGCGCCGATGCCGGAACAGCGTGTTGGTAATTACAAGCCCATGGGCTGCACAAAAATCTAGCAGCCTCCTACCGTTGTTATTGAGCTGATCTGGCCCATGCCCTCCAATCACTCCAGACCAGGTGCCAGTATCATGACCAACTCGGGCATTGAAGTCACCCAACATGATGACTCTATCCCGAGGGGCCACTTTAGCCAGCACCTGTGACAGGAGGTCATAGAAGGCATCTGACTCATCGGCTTTGCCTGCATCCCTCCACGGATGTTCATCTTCGGTGGGGGCATAAGTAACCACGACCACCATTCCTCGCCTCCGGTTGATGGGAAGGCGAGCCCAAAGTAGCCTGGGGCTTACAGCTTCCCACACCTCACCGCCACGCTCCCACGCCCCCTTCATTCTTTTGTTCAAAAGAAGACCCACACCCTGTTGTTTGGCAGTCTGCTGCCCCGAGTAGAGCACTGTCCACCCCTCATGGTGGCAGGAGCCAGAGCCGGTCCACCGGACCTCCTGAATGCCGCATAGATCCAGGCGGTACCGGTCCAGCTCCCGAGAGAGGAGTGGCAGCCTCTCCTCTGCAGTGAGCGTTCGAACATTCCACGTGGCCACCCGTAGTGGCTTTTCGTTGTTTCTGGAGTAGCCCCGAGGGTAGGCATTCAATCTCCTGGCTCCGCCAATTGGGGTTTGGCCAGGAGACGTCATAGACGCCTGGCCACTGTGGTGGACACATATGCCATGAGGGGAGGAGCCAATCAAAATTGGATCTCCCCCCACAGCGCTGTCCACGACAGAGTTGCCCGTCCGGCACCGCGAGGAGGTAGGGGGTTGTTTTGCGTGTGTACACACACACACACACACGTACACACACACATGTACACACACACATATACACACACACGCACACGTACACACACACGTACACACACACAAGTACACACACACACACGTACACACACGTACACACACGCACGCACACAAACACACGTACACACACACGTACACGCGGCCACACGGCGGCCGTGGGGGCGTTGTCGTTGACATCGCTCAGCATCAACTCCAGCGTGGCGGTGCCGCTCGCGACGGGAGAGCCTGCTCCACCGTCGCGACGTGCGCACGCACGCACACACACACACGTACACACACGCACGCACACACACACACACGTACGCACACACGTACACACACACGTACACACACACACGCACGCACACACACACGTACACACACACACGTACACACACGTACACACACGCACGCACACACACACATGTACACACACACGCGCACACACGTACACATACGTATACACACACACGCACGTACACACACGTACACACACGTACACACACACACGTACGTACACACACACGCACGTACACACACACACGCACACACAACACACGTACACATGCACACACCACACACGTACGTACACACACACGCACGCACACACAGGCACACACGTACACACGCCACACACGTACGTACACACATACGCACGCACACACACGTACACACACACGTACACACATAAAATGTAGTGAAGGTGGGTCACTAGGGGGCGTAGCGTTGGTTACAGAGAGGGGAATTGTGGGTGCAGTAGCCCTCTCTGCCAGCAGGGCATGCAATGTCATGGAACGGGACCTAGGGGGCGTAGTGCTGGTGGCTGTCAGAGGACGTAGCAGCCCGGCTGGCTTGCAGGGCACGTGATAGGCCAAAGGTGACAGATGGGACACGTGGGGCACGGCCCAGACACCTTCTGGTAGGTTTCAGAAGGGGGCGTGGCCGAGGGCGTGCCCAGGCCACGCCGGGGGCCATAAAAGGGAGGTCCCGAGGCCAGGTCGGGGCCGTCTGCTGGAGTGGAGTCCTCGCTGCCGCGCCTTCCCCTGGATCCTCGCTCTTCACGCTCGGCATTGTGGGTCAGGCAGCATGCCGAGCGTCCTGACCCATCTGCAGTGATCCCATGTGTGAACAGAGTGTCTCCTACTACCAGCGTCTCAGAAGTGAACCTCTACACACGTACACACACACGTACACACAAACACACGCAGCGACGGCGAGCGTGGCTGTGAGCGTGGGCGTGGCCGCGGGCCCCGCTCCCCTGTAACCCCGCACCGTCGTCAGTCGCCAGGAACGTGGCTGTGTAGACGTTGCGCTGCACGAGAGGCGACTCGCGGTCGAGCTCCGCCGCCGTGCTCACCGCGCCGTCGGCCGCGTCAATGTCAAGCCAGTCGCCCGGCACCCGCAGCTTGCGGTAGCTGCACGCACGCACAAAGATCCCCCAGGTAGCCTCGACGGACTGTCGCGGCGAGTGCTGTTAGTGGCGAGTAGGCAGACACCTACACACAGACGAAGATTCCCCACCGTGTAGCCTCAACAGGATGTAGGGGCAAGTGCTGTTAGCGAGTATAGTGTAGTGTATAGTGTAGTGTATAGTAGTGTAGTGTATAGTAGTGTATAGTGTATAGTAGTGTATAGTGTCGTGTATAGTAGTGTAGTGTATAGTGTAGTGTGAAGTGTAGTGTGTAGTGTATAGTATTGTATAGTGTTGTCTAGTGTCACGCCATCAACAGACTGTGGTAACTTACCTGCAGTAGCAGACATACATCAGCAGGGGGTGGTATGTGGGCTGCTAGGGTTCCCCAGACCCCAAGAGGGGGTGGGCTGGGGGAATATTCCAGGATCCCCCAGAACATTCTGGAAGGGAGGCGTGGCCAGGGGCGGAGAGACCCTGGAGGGTTATAAAAGCCGGACCCTTGAACGGGTTCGGCAGTCGTCCCCAAGCCGAAGACTGAAGACCGCCGGGCTTAGAGTAGGACCCTGGGAACCCCCAGACCCGACGTCCTTGTGAGGGCAGGGACTTAGTGGGACAGTGGTCGGACCCTGGGAACCCCCAGACCCTACGTCCTTGTAAGGGCCGGGACTTAGTAGGACAGTGGTCGGACCCTGGGTACCCCCAGACCCAACGTCCTTGTGAGGGCAGGGACTTAGTGGGACAGTGGTCGGACCCTGGGTACCCCCAGACCCGACGTCCTTGTGAGGGCAGGGACTTAGTGGGACAGTGGTCGGACCCTGGGTACCCCCAGACCCGACGTCCTTGTCAGGGCAGGGACTTAGTGGGACAGTGGTCGGACCCTGGGTACCCCCAGACCCGACGTCCTTGTGAGGGCAGGGACTTAGTGGGACAGTGGTCGGACCCTGGGTACCCCCAGACCCGACGTCCTTGTGAGGGCAGGGACTTAGTGGGACCGTGGTCGGACCCTAGGTACCCCCAGACCCGCTGTCCTTTTTAGGTTGTTGTGGTTGTTGTTGTTGTGGTTGTTGGGGTTGTTTTGCTTGTTGTTGTGGTTGTTGTTGTGGTTGTTGTGGTTGTTGTTGTGGTTGTTGTTTTGGTTGTTATCCGCTTGGCGGGGAGTTGTCCTCACCGCAGGCTCTGCTTCTGTGCGGTGTCCGGGTCCCGTGCCACCAGGGTGGTGATGGCACTGCCCAGGGCGAGGCCTTCGGCCAGCATCACCTGCTGTAGCCGCGGCTCAAACAGCGGAGCCTCGTTCTCATCCTCAACACTCACCTGCCGGGGAGAGACACGGCGCACGGGGAGACAAGCTGTGGGGGGGGAGAGACACGGCGCACGGGGAGAGACACGGGGAAAAACATAGAGATAGGTACGGGGAGAGACACGGGGAAAAACATGGAGATAGGTACGGGGAGAGACACGGGGAAAAACATGGAGATAGGTACGGGGAGAGACACGGGGAGAGATGCGGGGAGAGATGCGGGGAGAGACGCGCACGGGGAGAGACACGGGGAAAAACATGGAGATAGGTACGGGGAGAGACACGGGGAGAGATGCGGGGAGAGATGCGGGGAGAGACACGCACGGGGAGAGACACGGGGAAAAACATGGATATAGGAACGGGGAGAGACACGGGGAAAAACATGGAGATAGGTACGGGGAGAGACGCGGGGAAAAACATGGAGATAGGTACGGGGAGAGACACGGGGAAAAACATGGAGATAGGCACGGGGAGAGACACAGGGAAAAACATGGAGATAGGTACGGGGAGAGACACGGGTAAAAACATGGAGATAGGTACGGGGAGAGACATGGGGAAAAACATGGAGATAGGTACGGGGAGAGACACGGGGAGAGATGCGGGGAGAGACGCGCACGGGGAGAGACACGGGGAAAAACATGGAGATAGGTACGGGGAGAGACACGGGGAAAAACATGGAGATAGGTACGGGGAGAGACACGGGGAGAGATGCGGGGAGAGATGCGGGGAGAGATGCGGGGAGAGACGCGCACGGGGAGAGACACAGGGAAAACATGGAGATAGGTACGGGGAGAGACACAGGTAAAAACATGGAGATAGGTACGGGGAGAGACATGGGTAAAAACATGGAGATAGGTACGAGGAAAGACGCGGGTAAAAACATGGAGATAGGTACGGGGAGAGACACGGGGAGAGATGCGGGGAGAGATGCGGGGAGAGATGCGGGGAGAGACACGGGGAGAGGTCGGGGGTGGCGGCTTTTCCGCAGGAATCTTTGTTCGTGGCGGGAGAATCCCAGCAGCTGTGAAGCTCTTGAGCAGCTCGCAGGTGTCCAGAGCCGGGTGCGGGTGGCACGGGAAGACCGTGGGGGGGCCGTGCGTGGGCCATGTGGGGGCCGTGGGGGTCACTCACCGTGACGGTGGCGGTACTCTCTGGAGGGGGCCGCATGGTTTTCACGAGCGGCTCCTCGTTATCCACGAAGACGATGAGTTGGTATGACGATGACGTCTCAAAGTCTAAGGGCTGCGGCGTACACGCACACACACACGTACACACACACACGTACACACGCACACGTACACACACACGTACACACGTACACACGTACACACACACGTACACACGTACACACGTACACACACGTACACACGTACACACACACACGTACACACACACGTACACACACGTACACACACATGTACACACGCACACGTACACACACACGTACACACGCACACGTACACACACACACGTACGTACACACGTACACACACACGTACACACGCACGTACACACGCACACGTACACACACACGTACACACACGTACACACGCGCACGTACACACACACGTACAAATGTACACACACGTACACACGTACACACACACGTACACACACGTACACACGTACACACACGTACACACGTACACACGCACACACACACGTACACACACGCACACACGTACACACACGGACACACGTACACACGCACGTACACACGGACACACGTTCACACACACGCACGCACACGTACAAAAGGCAAAGATCCCCCGTATAGCCTTAGCAGACCGTTTGGCCAAGTGTTGTTAGCGAGCACCTATGAAGACTGGAATGGCACACGTGGGGGTGGGGAGCCAGCACCACGCCCGTCCGCCTTTGTCTCCCCAGTGCTCGCGACGTTGACGTTCGGACCCCGTGCCCCCCCCCCTCACCCCCCACTGGACGTCTGTGAAAAAATACCTCCCTAGCTGCCTCCATCTTCTCCCTCCCCATCCTCCCCTCCCTCCCCTCCTTCCCCTTCCTTCCCTCCCCCACTTCCTTCCATCCCCCTCTCCCCTCCCCATCCTCCCCTCCCTCCCCCACCTCCTTCCATCCCCCCCTCCCCTCCCCTCCTTGCATCCCTCCCCTCCCTCCCTCCCCACCCTCGCCATCCTCCCTCCCCTCCCCATCCTCCCCTCCCTCCCCCACCTCCTTCCATCCCCCCCTCCCCTCCCCTCCCTCCCTTCCCTCCCTCCCTCCCCCCCTCCATCCCTCCCCTCCTTCCATCCCTCCCCTCCCTCCCTCCCTCCCCTCCTTTCCCCCCCTCCCCTTCCATCCCTCCCTACCTCCCCTCCCCTCCCTCCCCTCCCCTCCCTCCTTTGACCCCCTCCCCTCCCTCCCACGCATTACCTTGACAACGACGATCCTGCCATTGTTGGTGCCGGGGTCGGTCTCCACGACAAACAGGTCGCCGGGGTCTCCCGCCCCCCACTCCCCCCCCCCCTGCCCCCCCCCCGCGGAGGGAATAGCGGACACGCCAAGCTGCCGTGCCGGCCTCGTCCGAGTCGATCACTGAGAGGGGCGGCATCGTCACCGGCACCCCCACGGCGTTCTCACGGACCGTGCCGAACCACTACGGCGATGAAGATGCCGAGAGAAGGGGGCGGATAGGGGGGGTGACGTTGTTGTTGTATACCGCCTATGGTGCAGTGTTGAGTCTATGGTGCAGTGTTGAGTCTATGGTGCAGTGTTGAGTCTATGGTGTAGTGTTGAGTCTATGGAGCAGTGTTGAGTCTATGGTGCAGTGTTGAGTCTATGGTGCAGTGTTGAGTCTATGGTGCAATGTTGAGTCTATGGTGCAGTGTTGAGTCTATGGTGCAGTGTTGAGTCTATGGGCAGTGTTGAGTCTATGGTGTAGTGTTGAGTCTATGGGGCAGTGTTGAGTCTAAGGGCAGTGTTGAGTCTATGGGCAGTGTTGAGTCTATGGTGCAGTGTTGAGTCTATTGTGCATTGTTGAGTCTAAGGGCAGTGTTGAGTCTATGGTGCAGTGTTGAGTCTATGGTGCAGTGTTTAGTCTATGGAGCAGTGCTGAGTCTATGGTGCAGTGTTGAGTCTATGGAGCAGTGTTGAGTCTATGGTGCAGTGTTGAGTCTATGGTGCAGTGTTGAGTCTATGGGCAGTGTTGAGTCTATGGTGCAGTGTTGAGTCTATGGTGCAGTGTTGAGTCTAATGGTGCAGTGTTGAGTCTATGGTGCAGTGTTGAGTCTATGGGCAGTGTTGAGTCTATGGTGCAGTGTTGAGTCTATGGTGCAGTGTTGAGTCTATGGTGCAGTGTTGAGTCTATGGTGCAGTGTTGAGTCTATGGTGCAGTGTTGAGTCTATGGTGCAGTGTTGAGTCTATGGTGCAGTGTTGAGTCTATGGTGCAGTGTTGAGTCTATGGTGCAGTGTTGAGTCTATGGTGCAGTGTTGAGTCTATGGTGCAGTGTTGAGTCTATGGTGCAGTGTTGAGTCTATGGTGCAGTGTTGAGTCTATGGTGCAGTGTTGAGTCTATGGTGCAGTGTTGAGTCTATGGTGCAGTGTTGAGTCTATGGTGCAGTGTTGAGTCTATGGTGCAGTGTTGAGTCTATGGTGCAGTGTTGAGTCTATGGTGCAGTGTTGAGTCTATGGTGCAGTGTTGAGTCTATGGTGCAGTGTTGAGTCTATGGTGCAGTGTTGAGTCTATGGGCAGTGTTGAGTCTATGGTGCAGTGTTGAGTCTATGGTGCAGTGTTGAGTCTATGGTGCAGTGTTGAGTCTATGGTGCAGTGTTGAGTCTATGGTGCAGTGTTGAGTCTATGGTGCAGTGTTGAGTCTATGGTGCAGTGTTGAGTCTATGGTGCAGTGTTGAGTCTATGGTGCAGTGTTGAGTCTATGGTGCAGTGTTGAGTCTATGGTGCAGTGTTGAGTCTATGGTGCAGTGTTGAGTCTATGGTGCAGTGTTGAGTCTATGGTGCAGTGTTGAGTCTATGGTGCAGTGTTGAGTCTATGGTGCAGTGTTGAGTCTATGGTGCAGTGTTGAGTCTATGGTGCAGTGTTGAGTCTATGGTGCAGTGTTGAGTCTATGGTGCAGTGTTGAGTCTATGGTGCAGTGTTGAGTCTATGGTGCAGTGTTGAGTCTATGGTGCAGTGTTGAGTCTATGGTGCAGTGTTGAGTCTATGGTGCAGTGTTGAGTCTATGGTGCAGTGTTGAGTCTATGGTGCAGTGTTGAGTCTATGGTGCAGTGTTGAGTCTATGGTGCAGTGTTGAGTCTATGGTGCAGTGTTGAGTCTATGGTGCAGTGTTGAGTCTATGGTGCAGTGTTGAGTCTATGGTGCAGTGTTGAGTCTATGGTGCAGTGTTGAGTCTATGGTGCAGTGTTGAGTCTATGGTGCAGTGTTGAGTCTATGGTGCAGTGTTGAGTCTATGGTGCAGTGTTGAGTCTATGGTGCAGTGTTGAGTCTATGGTGCAGTGTTGAGTCTATGGTGCAGTGTTGAGTCTATGGTGCAGTGTTGAGTCTATGGTGCAGTGTTGAGTCTATGGTGCAGTGTTGAGTCTATGGTGCAGTGTTGAGTCTATGGTGCAGTGTTGAGTCTATGGTGCAGTGTTGAGTCTATGGTGCAGTGTTGAGTCTATGGTGCAGTGTTGAGTCTATGGTGCAGTGTTGAGTCTATGGTGCAGTGTTGAGTCTATGGTGCAGTGTTGAGTCTATGGTGCAGTGTTGAGTCTATGGTGCAGTGTTGAGTCTATGGTGCAGTGTTGAGTCTATGGTGCAGTGTTGAGTCTATGGTGCAGTGTTGAGTCTATGGTGCAGTGTTGAGTCTATGGTGCAGTGTTGAGTCTATGGTGCAGTGTTGAGTCTATGGTGCAGTGTTGAGTCTATGGTGCAGTGTTGAGTCTATGGTGCAGTGTTGAGTCTATGGTGCAGTGTTGAGTCTATGGTGCAGTGTTGAGTCTATGGTGCAGTGTTGAGTCTATGGTGCAGTGTTGAGTCTATGGTGCAGTGTTGAGTCTATGGTGCAGTGTTGAGTCTATGGTGCAGTGTTGAGTCTATGGTGCAGTGTTGAGTCTATGGTGCAGTGTTGAGTCTATGGTGCAGTGTTGAGTCTATGGTGCAGTGTTGAGTCTATGGTGCAGTGTTGAGTCTATGGTGCAGTGTTGAGTCTATGGTGCAGTGTTGAGTCTATGGTGCAGTGTTGAGTCTATGGTGCAGTGTTGAGTCTATGGTGCAGTGTTGAGTCTATGGTGCAGTGTTGAGTCTATGGTGCAGTGTTGAGTCTATGGGCAGTGTTGAGTCTATGGTGCAGTGTTGAGTCTATGGTGCAGTGTTGAGTCTATGGTGCAGTGTTGAGTCTATGGTAGCAGTGTTGAGTCTATGGTGCAGTGTTGAGTCTATGGTGCAGTGTTGAGTCTATGGTGCAGTGTTGAGTCTATGGTGCAGTGTTGAGTCTATGGTGCAGTGTTGAGTCTATGGTGCAGTGTTGAGTCTATGGTGCAGTGTTGAGTCTATGGTGCAGTGTTGAGTCTATGGTGCAGTGTTGAGTCTATGGAGCAGTGTTGAGTCTATGGTGCAGTGTTGAGTCTATGGTGCAGTGTTGAGTCTATGGTGCAGTGTTGAGTCTATGGTGCAGTGTTGAGTCTATGGTGCAGTGTTGAGTCTATGGTGCAGTGTTGAGTCTATGGTGCAGTGTTGAGTCTATGGTGCAGTGTTGAGTCTATGGTGCAGTGTTGAGTCTATGGTGCAGTGTTGAGTCTATGGGCAGTGTTGAGTCTATGGTGCAGTGTTGAGTCTATGGTGCAGTGTTGAGTCTATGGTGCAGTGTTGAGTCTATGGTGCAGTGTTGAGTCTATGGTGCAGTGCTGAGTCTATGGTGCAGTGTTGAGTCTATGGTGCAGTGTTGAGTCTATGGTGCAGTGTTGAGTCTATGGTGCAGTGTTGAGTCTATGGGCAGTGTTGAGTCTATGGTGCAGTGTTGAGTCTATGGTGCAGTGTTGAGTCTATGGTGCAGTGTTGAGTCTATGGTGCAGTGTTGAGTCTATGGTGCAGTGTTGAGTCTATGGTGCAGTGTTGAGTCTATGGTGCAGTGTTGAGTCTATGGTGCAGTGTTGAGTCTATGGTGCAGTGTTGAGTCTATGGTGCAGTGTTGAGTCTATGGTGCAGTGTTGAGTCTATGGTGCAGTGTTGAGTCTATGGAGCAGTGCTGAGTCTATGGTGCAGTGTTGAGTCTATGGAGCAGTGTTGAGTCTATGGTGCAGTGTTGAGTCTATGGTGCAGTGTTGAGTCTATGGTGCAGTGTTGAGTCTATGGTGCAGTGTTGAGTCTATGGTGCAGTGTTGAGTCTATGGTGCAGTGTTCGAGTCTATGGTGCAGTGTTGAGTCTATGGGCAGTGTTGAGTCTATGGTGCAGTGTTGAGTCTATCGCGTTAGTGTTGAGTCTATGGGCAGTGTTGAGTCTATGGTGCAGTGTTGAGTCTATAGTGCAGTGTTGAGTCTATGGTACAGTATTTGGTCTATGGCGTAGTGTTGAGTCTATGGTGCAGTGTTGAGTCTATGGTGCAGTGTTGAGTCTATGGTGCAGTGTTGAGTCTATGGTGCAGTGTTGAGTCTATGGTGCAGTGTTGAGTCTAAGGGCAGTGTTGAGTCTATGGTGCAGTGTTGAGTCTATGGTGCAGTGTTGAGTCTATGGAGCAGTGCTGAGTCTATGGTGCAGTGTTGAGTCTATGGAGCAGTGTTGAGTCTATGGTGCAGTGTTGAGTCTATGGTGCAGTGTTGAGTCTATGGGCAGTGTTGAGTCTATGGTGCAGTGTTGAGTCTATTGTGCAGTGTTGAGTCTATGGTGCAGTGTTGAGTCTATGGTGCAGTGTTGAGTCTATGGTGCAGTGTTGAGTCTATGGTGCAGTGTTGAGTCTATGGTGCAGTGTTGAGTCTATGGTGCAGTGTTGAGTCTATGGTGCAGTGTTGAGTCTATGGTGCAGTGTTGAGTCTATGGTGCAGTGTTGAGTCTATGGTGCAGTGTTGAGTCTATGGTGCAGTGTTGAGTCTATGGTGCAGTGTTGAGTCTATGGTGCAGTGTTGAGTCTATGGTGCAGTGTTGAGTCTATGGTGCAGTGTTGAGTCTATGATGCAGTGTTGAGTCTATGGTGCAGTGTTGAGTCTATGGTGCAGTGTTGAGTCTATGGTGCAGTGTTGAGTCTATGGTGCAGTGCTGAGTCTATGGTGCAGTGTTGAGTCTATGGGCAGTGTTGAGTCTATGGTGCAGTGTTGAGTCTATCGTGCAGTGTTGAGTCTAAGGGCAGTGTTGAGTCTATGGTGCAGTGTTGAGTCTATGGTGCAGTGTTGAGTCTATGGTGCAGTGTTGAGTCTATGGTACAGTGTTTGGTCTATGGTGCAGTGTTGAGTCTATGGTGCAGTGTTGAGTCTATGGTGCAGTGTTGAGTCTATGGTGCAGTGTTGAGTCTATGGGCAGTGTTGAGTCTATGGTGCAGTGTTGAGTCTATGGTGCAGTGTTGAGTCTATGGAGCAGTGCTGAGTCTATGGTGCAGTGTTGAGTCTATGGAGCAGTGTTGAGTCTATGGTGCAGTGTTGAGTCTATGGTGCAGTGTTGAGTCTATGGTGCAGTGTTGAGTCTATGGTGCAGTGTTGAGTCTATGGTGCAGTGTTGAGTCTATGGTGCAGTGCTGAGTCTATGGTGCAGTGTTGAGTCTATGGTGCAGTGTTGAGTCTATGGTGCAGTGTTGAGTCTATCGTGCAGTGTTGAGTCTAAGGGCAGTGTTGAGTCTATGGTGCAGTGTTGAGTCTATAGTGCAGTGTTGAGTCTATGGTACAGTATTTGGTCTATGGCGTAGTGTTGAGTCTATGGTGCAGTGTTGAGTCTATGGTGCAGTGCTGAGTCTATAGTGCAGTGTTGAGTCTAAGGGCAATGTTGAGTCTATGGTGCAGTGTTGAGTCTATGGTGCAGTGTTGAGTCTATGGAGCAGTGCTGAGTCTATGGTGCAGTGTTGAGTCTATGGAGCAGTGTTGAGTCTATGGTGCAGTGTTGAGTCTATGGTGCAGTGTTGAGTCTATGGGCAGTGTTGAGTCTATGGTGCAGTGTTGAGTCTATTGTGCAGTGTTGAGTCTATGGTGCAGTGTTGAGTCTATGGTGCAGTGTTGAGTCTATGGTGCAGTGTTGAGTCTATGGTGCAGTGTTGAGTCTATGGTGCAGTGTTGAGTCTTTGGTGCAGTGTTGAGTCTATGGTGCAGTGTTGAGTCTATGGTGCAGTGTTGAGTCTATGGTGCAGTATTTGGTCTATGGCGCAGTGTTGAGTCTATGGTGCAGTGTTGAGTCTATGGTGCAGTGTTGAGTCTATGGGTAGTGTTGAGTCTATGGTGCAGTGTTGAGTCTATGGGCAGTGTTGAGTCTATGATGCAGTGTTGAGTCTATGGTGCAGTGTTGAGTCTATGGTGCAGTGTTGAGTCTATGGTGCAGTGTTGAGTCTATGGTGCAGTGTTGAGTCTATGGTGCAGTGTTGAGTCTATGGGCAGTGTTGAGTCTATGGTGCAGTGTTGAGTCTATGGTGCAGTGTTGAGTCTATGGGCAGTGTTGAGTCTATGGTGCAGTGTTGAGTCTATGGTGCAGTGTTGAGTCTATGGTGCAGTGTTGAGTCTATGGGTGGTGTTTGAGTCTATGGTGCAGTGTTGAGTCTATGGTGCAGTGTTGAGTCTATGGTGCAGTGTTGAGTCTATGGTGCAGTGTTGAGTCTATGGTGCAGTGTTGAGTCTATGGTGCAGTGTTGAGTCTATGGTGCAGTGTTGAGTCTATGGTGCAGTGTTGAGTCTATGGTGCAGTGTTGAGTCTATGGTGCAGTGTTGAGTCTATGGAGCAGTGTTGAGTCTATGGTGCAGTGTTGAGTCTATGGTGCAGTGTTGAGTCTATGGTGCAGTGTTGAGTCTATGGTGCAGTGTTGAGTCTATGGTGCAGTGTTGAGTCTATGGTGCAGTGTTGAGTCTATGGAGCAGTGCTGAGTCTATGGTGCAGTGTTGAGTCTATGGTGCAGTGTTGAGTCTATGGTGCAGTGTTGAGTCTATGGTGCAGTGTTGAGTCTATGGTGCAGTGTTGAGTCTATGGTGCAGTGTTGAGTCTATGGTGCAGTGTTGAGTCTATGGGCAGTGTTGAGTCTATGGTGCAGTGTTGAGTCTATGGTGCAGTGTTGAGTCTATGGGCAGTGTTGAGTCTATGGTGCAGTGTTGAGTCTATAGTGCAGTGTTGAGTCTATGGTAGCAGTAGTTGAGTCTATGGCGTAGTGTTGAGTCTATGGTGCAGTGTTGAGTCTATGGTGCAGTGTTGAGTCTATGGTGCAGTGTTGAGTCTATGGTGCAGTGCTTGAGTCTATAGTGCAGTGTTGAGTCTATGGGCAGTGTTGAGTCTATGGTGCAGTGTTGAGTCTATGGTGCAGTGTTGAGTCTATGGAGCAGTGCTGAGTCTATGGTGCAGTGTTGAGTCTATGGAGCAGTGTTGAGTCTATGGTGCAGTGTTGAGTCTATGGTGCAGTGTTGAGTCTATGGTGCAGTGTTGAGTCTATGGTGCAGTGTTGAGTCTATGGTGCAGTGTTGAGTCTATGGTGCAGTGTTGAGTCTATGGTGCAGTGTTGAGTCTATGGTGCAGTGTTGAGTCTATGGTGCAGTGTTGAGTCTATGGTGCAGTGTTGAGTCTATGGTGCAGTGTTGAGTCTATGGTGCAGTGTTGAGTCTATGGTGCAGTGTTGAGTCTATGGTACAGTATTTGGTCTATGGCGCAGTGTTGAGTCTATGGTGCAGTGTTGAGTCTATGGTGCAGTGTTGAGTCTATAGTGCAGTGTTGAGTCTATGGTGCAGTGTTGAGTCTATGGGCAGTGTTGAGTCTATGGGCAGTGTTGAGTCTATGGTGCAGTGTTGAGTCTATCGTGCAGTGTTGAGTCTAAGGGCAGTGTTGAGTCTATGGTGCAGTGTTGAGTCTATGGTGCAGTGTTGAGTCTATGGTGCAGTGTTGGGTCTATGGTACAGTGTTTGGTCTATCGTGCAGTGTTGAGTCTATGGTGGAGTGTTGAGTCTATGGTGCAGTGTTGAGTCTATGGTGCAGTGCTGAGTCTATAGTGCAGTGTTGAGTCTAAGGGCAATGTTGAGTCTATGGTGCAGTGTTGAATCTATGGTGCAGTGTTGAGTCTATGGTGCAGTGTTGAGTCTATGGTACAGTGTTTAGTCTATGGTGCAGTGTTGAGTCTATGGTGCAGTGTTGAGTCTATGGTGCAGTGTTGAGTCTATGGTGCAGTGTTGAGGTTGGGTGGTGGTGACGGTGTGAGTGTGGGTGGTGTGTGGTGGTGGCGGTGGTGGTGCCGGCGTGCCGTACGGTTCTACTCGTGAACTCGGGGGCGTGGTCATTGATGTCGGTGATGGTGACGATGGCGGTGGCCGTGGTCGAGAGTCCGATGTTGGCGTCTCCCTCAATGTCCGAAGCCATCACCACCAGCGAAAAGTGCGCCACTCTCTACACAGAGCGGACACTCCCACACCGTCACCCCCCGGCACACGCACGGAGTGGGTTTGTAGTGCAGAGCGGTAACCGCTATACATGGCGTGCACAGAGAGACAGAGACACACACACACAGACACACACACAGACACACACAGACACACACACAGACACACACAGACACACACCTTACACAGACAAACACACAGACACACACAGACACACACCTCACACAGACAAACACACACTAGAGACAAACACACACACACAGACACACACACAGACACACACAGACACACACCTCACACAGACAAACACACAGTAGAGGCAAACACACAGACACACACAGACACACACCTCAGACAGACAAACACACACTAGAGACAAACACACACACAGACACACACATAGACACAGACACACACAGACACACACACAGACACACACACAGACATAGACACACACAGACAAACACCTCACAGAGACACACACACACAATAGAGACAAACACACACACACACACACACAGACACACACGAGACAAACACACAGACACACACACACAGAGACACACACAGACACACACACAGTAGAGACAAACACACACACATACACAGACACAAAGACACACACCTCACACAGACACACACAGTAGAGACAAACACACAGACACACACACACAGACACACACAGACACACACCTCACAGAGACACACACACAGTAGAGACAAACACACAGACACACACAGACACACACCTCACACAGACACACACACACACAGACACACACAGACAAACACCTCACAGAGACACACACAGTAGAGACAAACACACAGACACACACACACACAGACACACACAGACACACACACACAGACACACACAGTAGAGACATACACACAGACACACACACAGACACACACACAGACACACACACACAGACACATACAGACACACACAGACACACACCTCACACAGACACACACACACAGTAGAGACAAACACACAGACACACACATAGACACAAACACACAGACACACACATAGACACATACAAGGACAAAGATCCCCCATATAGCCTTAACAGACTGTAGGGGCAAGTGCTGTTAGCGAGCACCTATGAAGGCTGGAACGGTACACGAGGGGGTGGGTGGCCAGCACCACGCACGACTGCCTTTGTCTCCCTAGTGGCAATGTTTACACACCGCACCAGGTACTCATTTGAGGCCGAGTCGACCTAGGGGGGCCCGGGACCGGTTCAGACAATCGTCACACGAACGTTGTGTCCGTGATGTGCGGCAGAAGCCAGATTAAACGATGCGGAAAACTGCATCAGTGCACAAAATGTACCGTATTTGTTTTGCTTTACAGATACAACAACAGTCAGATGTTCTAGACACAGACACACACAGACACACACAGACACACACCTCACACAGACACACACACACACAGTAGAGACAAACACACAGACACACAGCCACACACAGACACACACACACAGACACACACACACAGTAGAGACAAACACACAGACACACACACAGACACACACAGACACACACACAGACACACACACACAGTAGAGACAAACACACAGACACACACATAGACACACACACAGACACACACCTCACAGAGACACACACAGTAGAGACAAACACACACACAACAACAACAACCGCCATTCGCCACTAAGTGGCGGTGACGTCACCACGAGGCTTGTGCCAGGCTATGTGCACCCTGAGGCTACGTGAAGTGTCGAACGCCCGCTGGCAGGAGGTCAAGAGGCAAACCCAGGTGCCACGGGTCGACTGACTGAGATGACTGGCTGATGCACCACCTGTGCCCCCTACTGTGCCAACCTGCTGTGCTTTAGCCACCCGGCGCTCCGCTCGTTGTTCTGAGCGTCGCTCCTCCGCCCTCCGTTGTTTTGGAGGGCGACTACCTCCAACTGCCCAGTAGCGTCCTTCACGAGCCTCCTCCACAGAGGCCGATCTTGACACCGCTGGTACCAGTCATCGGCAAGTCAACTCAGCTCCACGTCCTCCTGTACCACATCACTCCATCTCTTCTCTAGCCCGTGCCGCGCTAGCTTAGCCCCCTCGATCCGGCCGAACAAAAGCTGTTTCGGCATGGGGTGGCTGGGCATGCGGGCTACATGACCCAGCCATCGCAGCCTTCCCCGCCGGAGGAGCTCACCGATGGGACCTTGCCCAGATCTCTCAAGGATTTGTGAGCTCCTCACACAATCCAGTCTGGTTAAACCCAGGATGGATCGTAGGCAGGCCAGCCTAAATGTTTCTAACCGGCGAAGATGTTCCATTAGGGGTGTCCACGTTTCGCAAGCGTAGAGAAGGAAGGGAATGACCGTGGCCGAGAAGACCTGAAGCTTAGTGCGGAGCGACAGATCAGGTAGCTTGCACACGTTACGCAACCGATGAAAAGATATTGCCGCTCGACTGATTCGGAGTGAGACCTCTGCTGTTAAACTGGAGCCAGTCATAAGCACACTGCCCAGGTATGGGAAACTCTCCACTCTCTCCACAACTGCCCCATCACCGATTGGGAGTTGTGGGGGTGGAGTGTCCGATGGTACAAAATATGCAGACAGGTGCTTAGTTTTGGTGGGGCTGATGGTAGGCCCCACCTCTTAGTGGCACGCTCCAGTCTCAGCAGCAGCGTCTCCACCTCCTCCTCTGAATGAGCAGCTATTACCAAATCATCAGCATACATAACGTGGTTGAACATTCGGGAGCCATCCCTTGACCGCACCCGAGCGTCGATCAGCCTCCCATTATATCTGTACCATATGGAGATTCCTCCGGTACAGCTATTGAAGGCTTCACGAACTACGTGGTCAAAATAGATGTTAAATAATGTGGGAGCCAGAGGACATCCCTGTCGCACCCCAAGGTTAACAGGGAATGGCTCTGACTCCCGGCCACGTAGTTTTACCCGGGCCCGCTCACCATCATGACGGTCCTTAATGATCGTGAGCAGAGGGTCAGGTACTCCAAAAGCACGAAGAACAACCCAGAGCCCAGGCCTACTGATGGTATCATAGGCCTTGACCAGGTCAATAAAGCAGAGATGTAGGTCTTTTTGGAATTCCCTACACCTCTGCTGTAGCAGACGGACAGAAAATATGGCATCTGTGCAGAACCGCCCTTTCCTGAAACCGCATTGGGGCTCCGCAAGCCTCTCCTCAGCGTGCCTGGCAAGGCGATGTTGAATAATCCTTGCCAGGACCTTTCCTGGCACACTGAAGAGTGAGAACCCGTTCAGTGGTCCAGACTGTTGTTATGATGTCATATAGGGCAGTCTGTGCACAAACGCCGCCCTCCCTCAGCATTTCGCTTGGGAGATCATCTCTGCCCGCTGCCTTTCCTGGTCTCAGACTCCGGATCGCCTTCAATACTTCCTCAACAGATGGCACCTCAGCCAGCCACTCACAGGGGGTGACCTCTTCCAAAATTTGAGGCACCGTAGCCTCAGCAGGGTCATCCTCACTTTGTGCCACGATGTTTTCCTGGCTGAGGGATTTTCCCTCCCCCAGGACATCACAGAAATGCTCAGCAAATCTGCAAACCTGTTCCTGGGGGTTGGTGATTGGGTCACCGTTTTTTCCCCTAATGATGGTAATAGGTGTGGCGCTGCAGATTACTTTTTTGTAGTTAAATAGACACACACGCACAGACACACACACAGACACACACACACAGTAGAGACAAACACACAGACACACACACAGACAAACACACAGTAGAGACAAACACACAGACACACACATAGACACAGACTCACACAGACACACACCTCACAGAGACACACAGACACACACAGTAGAGACAAACACACAGACACACACATAGACACACACACAGACACACACACACACACAGACACACACAGACACACACCTCACACAGACAAACACACACTAGAGACAAACACACAGACACACACATAGACACAGACACACACACACAGACACACACAGACAAACACACACTAGAGACAAACACACACACACAGACACACACATAGACATAGACACACACAGACACACACACACACAGGCACACACACAGACACACACACAGACACACACAGACGTGATACCCACCTCTCGGTCCAGCCGGACAGTATTGGTGATGATGCCTGTGACTCTGTCGATGGTGAACACGCGGTAGACACAGACACACACACACACAGACACACACACACAGACACACACACACAGACAAACACACACTAGAGACAAACACACACACACACACAGACACACACAGACACACACACAGACACACACAGACACACACACAGACATACACACAGACACACACACACAGACACACACAGACGTGATACCCACCTCTCGGTCCAGCCGGACAGTATTGGTGATGATGCCTGTGAATCTGTCGATGGTGAACACGCGGTGTGCAGTCACCATGGGAACCTGCAACACTATATGGTAGCGAATCGCTCCGTTGAGCGTCAAGGGGTCATCCATGTCACTCGCCACCACCCTCATCACGAAAGTGCCTGACATGGCCGGAGGGAGAGGGAGGGGAAGGAGTGAGTGTGTGTGAATGTATCTGTGTGTATGTGTGTGTGTGTCTGTGTGTGTGTGTGTCTGTGTGTGTTTGAGTGTGTGAGTGAGTGAGTGTGTGAGTGAGTGTGTATGTGTGAGTGTGTGTATGTGTGTATGTGTGAGTGTGTGAGTGTGTATGTGTGTGTATGTGAGTGAGTGTGTATGTGTGAGTGTGTCTGTGTATGTGTGTATGTGTGAGTGTGTGAGTGTGTGTGTGAGTGTGTGAGTGTGTATGTGTGAGTGTGTGAGTGTGTGTGTGTGAGTGTGTATGTGTGAGTGTGTGAGTGTGTATGTGTGAGTGTGTGTATCTGTGTGTATGTGTGAGTGTATGTGAGTGTGTGAGTGAGTGTGAGTGAGTGTGTAAGTGTGTATGTGTGAGTGTGCATGTGTGAGTGTTTGAGTGTGTATGTGTGTGTGTGAGTGTTTGAGTGTGTATGTGTGAGTGTGTATGTGTGTGAGTGTGTGAGTGAGTGTGTGAGTGTGTGTGTGAGTGAGTGTGTATGTGTGTATGTGTGAGTTTGTGTATCTGTGTGTATGTGTGAGTGTATGTGAGTGTGTGAGTGTGAGTGTGTAAGTGTGTATGTGTGAGTGTGTATGTGTGTGTGAGTGTTTGAGTGTGTATGTGTGAGTGTGTGAGTGTGTATGTGTGAATGAGTGTGTGAGTGTGTATGTGTGAGTGTGTATGTGTGAGTGTATGTGAGTGTGTGAGTGTGTAAGTGTGTATGTGTGTATGTGTGAGTGTGTATGTGTGTGTGAGTGTTTGAGTGTGTATGTGTGAGTGTGTGAGTGTGTATGTGTGAATGAGTGTGTGAGTGTGTATGTGTGAGTGTGTATGTGTGTGTGTGTATGTGTGTATGTGCCGGACGGGCAACTCTGTCGTGGACAGTGCTGTGGGGGGAGGTCCAATTTCGATTGGCTCCTCCCCTCATGGCGTCTGTGTCCACCACAGGGGCTAAACGGGGGCTCTGGACGGGTGCGAGGGGCTGGTAACCCCTCCACCTTCAATTAATTACCACTAAACTACAACTGAAATATATAATTAATAAGCTTGTGCCGGAGGCCCCGGGGGGCCAGGCGTCTATGACGTCTCCTGGCCAAACCCCAATTGGCGGAGCCAGGAGTGACCACGTGGAATGTTCGAACGCTCACTGCGGAGGAGAGGCTGCCACTCCTCTGTCGGGAGCTGGGCCGGTACAGCCTGGATCTATGTGGCATTCAGGAGGTCCGGTGGACCGGTTCTGCCACCATGAGGGTTGGACAGTCCTCTACTCCGGGCAGCAGACTGCCAAACAACAGGGTGTGGCTATTCTTTTGAACAAAAGAATGAAGGGGGCGTGGGAATGTGGCGGTGAGGTGTGGGAAGCTGTAAGCCCCAGGCTAGTTTGGGCTCGCCTTCCCATCAACCGGAGGCGAGGAATGGTGGTCCTGGTTACTTATGCCCCCACCGAAGATGAACATCCGTGGAGGGATGCAGGCAAAGCCGATGAGTCAGATGCCTTCTATGACCTCCTGTCACAGGTGCTGGCTAAAGTGGCCCCTCGGGATAGAGTCATCATGTTGGGTGACTTCAATGCCCGAGTTGGTCATGATGCTGGCACCTGGTCTGGAGTGATTGGAGGGCATGGGCCAGATCAGCTCAATAACATCGGTAGGAGGCTGCTAGATTTTTGTGCAGCCCATGGGCTTGTAATTACCAACACGCTGTTCCGGCATCGGCGCATCCACACAACATCATGGATGCATGCCGGGTCCAAGCAAGAACATCTGCTGGACTACATAGTGACGGACCAGCGGATGCGAGCCCATGTCCTTGACACCAGGACCTACAGTGGAGCTGATCTGCCCTCTGACCATCGACTAGTCATCTGTAAGATGCGCCTGCCATTCTTCCACTCCGGTGGTGGGTGTACACCCAGGACCCCATTCCAACCTAAAGTGGCCTGGTCTCAGTTATCTGATGAAAGTTGCAAGCGAGAATTTCATCATCGCTTGCGGCTGGGATTGGCATCGTCCCCGACTCCTTCTGATGTCGAGGGTAAATGGGTGAGGTTTAGGACTGTGACTCATGCAGCTGCAATGGCTGCTTTGGGAATGCGGTCCAGACCTCCCCAGAGACCCTGGCTGACAGAGGAGGTGTTCAGGATGGTTGAGAAAAAGCGACAGGCCCACTGTCATCGGCTATAGAATCCCACGTCAGAGAATGAGGAAGCTTACCGCAGCCTTCGCTCGGAGGTTCGGAGAGCCGTGAGGCGCTGCAAGGATGGGTGGTGGTCGCGGGTTGCTGAGGAGATGGAGTCTGCCTCAGTGGCCCGTGATCACAAATCTCTATTTAACTCCATCAAAAAAGTAACCTGCAGCGCCACACCTATTACCATCATTAGGGGAAAAAACGGTGATCCAATCTCCGACCCCCAGGAACAGGTTTGCAGATTTGCTGAGCATTTCTGTGAGGTCCTGGGGGAGGGAAAATCCCTCAGCCAGAAAAACATCGTGGCACAAAGTAAGGATGACCCTGCTGAGGCTGCGGTGCCTCAAATATTGGAAGAAGTCACCCCCTGTGAGTGGCTGCCTGAGGTGCCATCTGTTGAGGAAGTACTGAGGGCGATCCGGAGTCTGAGACCAGGAAGGGCAACGGGCAGAGATGATCTCCCAAGCGAAATGCTGAGGGAGGGGAGCGTTTGTGCACAGACTGCCCTATATGACATCATAACAACAGTCTGGACCACTGGACGGGTTCCGCAGGATTGGAAGGATGCCCTGGTGGTCCCCCTTTTTAAGAAGGGGGACTGCACAGACTGTAACAACTACAGGGGCATTTCACTCCTCAGTGTGCCGGGAAAGGTCCTGGCAAGGATTATTCAGCATCGCCTTGCCAGGCACGCTGAGGAGAGGCTTGCGGAGCCCAAATGCGGTTTCAGGAAAGGGCGGTCCTGCACAGATGCCATATTTTCTGTCCGTCTGCTACAGCAGAGGTGTAGGGAATTCCAAAAAGACCTACATCTCTGCTTTATTGACCTGGTCAAGGCCTATGATACCATCAGTAGGCCTGGGCTCTTGGTTGTTCTTCGTGCTTTTGGAGTACCTGACCCTCTGCTCACAATCATTAAGGACCTTCATGATGGTGAGCGGGCCCGGGTAAAACTACATGGCCGGGAGTCAGAGCCATTCCCTGTACACCTTGGGGTGCGACAGGGATGTCCTCTGGCTCCCACATTATTTAACATCTATTTTGACCACGTAGTTCGTGAAGCCTTCAATAGCTGTACCGGGGGAATCTCCATATGGTACAGATATAATGGGAGGCTGATCGATGCCCGGGTGCGGTCAAGGGATGGCTCCCTATTGCTCAACCACGTTATGTATGCTGATGATTTGGTAATAGCTGCTCATTCAGAGGAGGAGTTGGAGACGCTGCTGCTGAGACTGGAGCGTGCCACTAAGAGGTGGGGCCTTACCATCAGCCCCACCATAACTAAGCACCTGCCTGGGTATTTTGTACCATCGGACACTACACCCCCACAACTCCCAATCGGTGATGGGGCAGTTGTGGAGCGAGTGGAGAGTTTCCCATACCTGGGCAGTGTGCTTATGACCGGCTCCAGTTTAACAGCAGAGGTCTCACTCAATCAGTCGAGCGGCAATATCTTTTCATCGGTTGCGTAACGCTGTGTGGAAGCTACCTGGTCTGTTGCTCCGCACTAAGCTTCAGGTCTTCTCGGCCACGGTCATTCCCTCCCTTCTCTACGCTTGCGAAACGTGGACCCCCCTATTGAAACATCTTCGCCGGTTAGAAACATTTAGGATAGCCTGTCTACGATCCATCCTGGGTTTAACCAGGCTGGATTGTGTGAGGAGCTCACAAATCCTTGAAAGATCTGGGCAAGGTCCCATCGGTGAGCTCCTCCGGCGGGCACGATGGCTGGGTCATGTAGCCCGCATGCCCAGCCACCGCATGCCGAAACAGCTTTTGTTTGGCCGGATTGAGGGGGTTAAGCGGACGCGGCATGGGCTAGAGAAGAGATGGAGTGATGTGGTACAGGAGGACGTGGAGCTGAGTGGACTTGCCGATGACTGGTACCAGCGGTGTCAAGATAGGCCTCTGTGGAGGAGGCTCGTGAAGGATGCTATTGGGCAGTTGGAGGTAGTTGCCCTCCAACAACAACGGAGGGCGGAGGAGCGACACTCACAACAACGAGCAGAGCGCCGGGTGGCTAAAGCACAGCAGGTTGGCACAGTAGGGGGCACAGGTGGTGCATCAGCCAGTCATCTCAGTCAGTCGACCTGTGACATCTAGGTCTGCCCCGTGACCTCCTGCCAGCGGGCGTTCGACACTTCACATGGCCTCAGGGTGCACATAGCCTGGCACAAGCGTCGTGGTGACGTCACCGCCACTTAGTGGCGAATGGCGGTTGTTGTGTGAGTGAGTGTGTCTGTGTGTGTGTACCTGTGAGTGTGTGAGTGAGTGTATGAGTGTATGAGTGAGTGTGTTTGAGTGTATGAGTGAGTGAGTATATGAGTGAGTGAGTGCATGAGTGAGTGTGTGAGTGAGTGAGTGTATGAGTGAGTGTGTGAGTGTATGAGTGAGTGTATGAGTGAGTGTATGAGTGAGTGTATGAGTTAGTGAGTGTATGAGTGAGTGTATGAGTGAGTGTGTGAGTGTATGAGTGAGTGTATGAGTGAGTGTATGAGCAAGTGTGTGAGTGAGTGAGTGTGTGAGTGAGTGTATGAGTGAGTGAGTGTATGAGTGAGTGTATGAGTGAGTGTATAAGTAAGTGAGTGTATGAGTGAGTGAGTGTGTGAGTGAGTGTATGAGTGAGTGAGTGTGTGAGTGAGTGTATGAGTTAGTGAGTGTATGAGTGAGTGTATGAGTGAGTGTATGAGTTAGTGAGTGTATGTGTGAGTGAGTGCATGAGTGAGTGTGTGAGTGAGTGGTTGCCATGGCGACATCATCGTCATCATCCTCGCCATCGTCGTCGTCATCATCATCGTCATCATCATCGTCGCCATCGTCATAATCATCATCATCGTCATCATCATCGTCGTCATCGTTATCATCGTCATCATCGTCATCATCATCGTCATCATCATCATCATCGTCGCCATCGTCATCATCATCGTCGTCATCATCATCGTTATCATCGTCATCGTCATCATCGTCATCGTCATCATCATCGTCATCATCATCGTCATCATCGTCATCATCGTCATCGTCATGATCGTCGTCATCATCGTCATCATCGTCATCACCATCATCGTCATCATCATCATCATCGTCATCATCGTCATCGTCATGATCGTCGTCATCGTCATCATCGTCATCATCATCATCAACATCATCGTCATCATCATCATCATCGTCATCATCATCATCATCGTCATCATCGTCATCATCGTCAGCGCACCTCGCGGGGATCCTTCGACGACGCTGCTGTGAAAGACTTCCTTGGCGAACGTGGGACGGTTGTCGTTGACGTCAATGACATCAACGACGAGGTCCACTGGCTTCTCCAGATGACGCCCACTCGTGTCCACAGCGTAGCACTTGAGCTGCAGTCACAACACTGTGGTGTAGTAGTGTATAGTGTAGTAGTGTATAGTGTAGTAGTGTATAGTGTAGTAGTGTATAGTGTAGTAGTGTATAGTGTAGTAGTGTATAGTGTAGTAGTGTATAGTGTAGTAGTGTATAGTATAGTAGTGTATAGTGTAGTAGTGTATAGTGTAGTAGTGTATAGTAGTGTAGTGTATAGTGTAGTGTATATAGTGTAGTGTATATAGTGTAGTGTATAGTGTAGAAGTGTATAGTGTAGTAGTGTATAGTGTAGTAGTGTATAGTGTAGTAGTGTATAGTGTAGTAGTGTATAGTGTAGTAGTGTATAGTGTAGTAGTGTATAGTGTAGTAGTGTATAGTGTAGTAGTGTATAGTGTAGTAGTGTATAGTGTAGTAGTGTATAGTGTAGTATAGTGTAGTGTAGTAGTGTATAGTATAGTAGTGTATAGTGTAGTAGTGTATAGTGTAGTCGTGTATATAGTGTAGTAGTGTATAGTGTAGTAGTGTATAGTGTAGTAGTGTATAGTGTAGTGGTGTATAGTGTAGTAGTGTATAGTGTAGTGTATAGTGTAGTAGTGTATAGTGTAGTAGTGTATAGTGTAGTGTATAGTGTAGTAGTGTATAGTGTAGTAGTGTATAGTGTAGTGTATAGTGTAGTGTATAGTGTAGTGCATAGTCTAGTAGTGTATAGTGTAGTAGTGTATAGTGTAGTAGTGTATAGTGTAGTGTAGTAGTGTATAGTGTAGTAGTGTAGTGTATAGTGTAGTGTAGTGTATAGTGTAGTAGTGTATAGTGTAGTGTATAGTGTAGTAGTGTATAGTGTAGTGTATAGTGTAGTGTATAGTGTAGTGTATAGTGTAGTGTAGTGTATAGTGTAGTAGTGTATAGTGTAGTGTATAGTGTAGTGTATAGTGTAGTGTATGGTGTAGTGTATAGTGTAGCATAGTAGTGTAGTGTATAGTGTAATGTATAGTAGTGTAGTGTATAGTGTAGTGTATGGTGTAGTGTATAGTGTAGTGTATAGTGTAGTGTATAGTGTAGTAGTGTAGTGTATGGTGTAGTGTATAGTGTAGTGTATAGTGTAGTGTATAGTGTAGTAGTGTAGTGTATGGTGTAGTAGTGTAGTGTATAGTATATGGTGTAGCAGTGCATAGTGTAGTGTAGCGTGAGTGGTCCGTACCCGATACTGAGCGATCACCTCCCGGTCCAGGCTCCTGGTGACTGAGACTCTCCCCGTCACGGTGTCCATGACGAACAACCCCACGGGATGCTGGTCGGCGCCGTCCCCCAGCAAGGCATAGCGGATGTCCACCCCGGCGGTGTCGGACTTCACCTGTTGGGGTGCCGTGACGAACGTGGGGGCGGCGATGATGCTGTGACGGCTGCTCCTACGCTGGACTTCTTCCAGCGCTCTCACGCTCACCTCACCCTCGACTCTCGACAATGCCCCACAGACCTCCCACGGCGGCGTGCGGATGTCTCGGCTGTCCGCGTCTCGTCGATTCGTTGACCTTTCCCTGGACTCTGCGCCACCGCCAGAAGCGTTTCTGTCACCCCCCACCGTGCCCCCTACTGAGCGTGGCAGAAAAGAGCTTCCCGGCTCTACGGATTCCTCCCCCTCCTCCTCCTCTACCTCCTCCTCCTCGTCTCTCTGGTCCAGCTCCACCACCTCCACCTTCTCCACGCGTCCTAACCTTAGGCTAGGGTTAGTTTAGGGCTAGTTAAGGGCTAGTTAAGGGCTAGTTCAGGGTTAGTTTAGGGTTAGTTTATGGTTAGGTTAGGGTTAGTTGAGGGTTAGTTTAGGGTTAAGTTAGGGTTAGGTTAGTTAATGGTTAGGTTAGGGTTAGTTTAGGGTTAGTTTAGGGTTAGTTAAGGGTTAGGTTAGGGTTAGTATAGAGTTAGTTCATGGTTAGTTTAGGGTTAGTTTAGGGTTAGGTTAGGGTTAGTATAGAGTTAGTTCATGGTTAGGTTAGGGTTAGTTTAGGGTTAGTTGAGGGCTAGTTTAGAGTTAGTTAATGGTTAGGTTAGGGCTAGTTGAGGGTTATGTTAGGGGTAGGTTAGGGTTAGGTTAGGGTTAGTTTAGGGTTAGTTTAAGAGTTAGTTCATGGTTAGGTTAGGGTTAGTTGAGGGTTAGTTTAGGGTTAAGTTAGGGTTAGGTTAGAGTTAGTTAATGGTTAGGTTAGGGTTAGTTGAGGGTCATGTTAGGGTTAGTTTAGGGTTAGTTGAGGGCTAGTTTAGAGTTAGTTAATGGTTAGGTTAGGGCTAGTTGAGGGTTATGTTAGGGGTAGGTTAGGGCTAGGATGAGGTTATACGACAATAAGAATGAGAACGCGCCACGTCCATCACACAGCGCACCTGCACCAGCAGCTTGGGGAAGGGCCCGCGGTCATTCTCGGGCACGGACACCTTGGGGATGAGCCAGGCCCGTCTCCAGCGACGACGACTCGCACCTTGGCCTGGCTGCTGGAACCTCACCACCACCTCCTCCACCTCCTTCTCCACCTCCACCACCTCCACCTCCTTCTCCACCTCCTTCACCTCCTCCTCGTCTCTCTCTTCCTCCACCTCCTTCTCCACCTCCTCCTCATTTCTCTCCTCCAGCTCCACCACCTCCACCTCCTTCTCCACCTCCTTCACCTCCTCCTCATCTCTCTCTTCCTCCACCTCCTCCTCCACCTCCTTCTCCACCTCCTTCTCCACCTCCTCCTCCTCATTTCTCTCCTCCAGCTCCACCACCTCCACCTCCTTCACCTCCTCCTCGTCTCTCTCCTCCTCCACCTCCTCCTCCACCTCCTCCTCGTCTCTCTCCTCCTCCACCTCCTCCACCTCCTTCTCCACCTCCTCGTCTCTCTCCTCCTCCTCCTCCTCCTCCTCCACCTCCTCTACCTCCTCCTCCACCTCCTTCTCAACCTCCTCCTCCACCTCCTCCACCTCCTTCTCCACCTCCTCCTCGTCTCTCTCCTCCAGCTGCACCACCTCCACCACCTCCACCACCTCCACGCGTCTCTCCCCGCGCTCTCCCTGTGCGGGGTGCGGTGAAGACGACACCAAACGTCATCGTGAGCGAGGCCACTTCATTCCTTTTGTCGGCTGGTGGAGGGATTCTTAACGACACGGAATTTGGCCAGATAGTGACGCGTGTGTGTACGTGTGTGTGTATGTGTGTAAGTGTGTGTGTACGTGTGTGTGTGTCTCTGTGTGTACGTGTGTGTGTATGCGTGTAAGTGTGTGTGTACGTGTGTGCCGGACGGGCAACGCTGTCGTGGGCAGTGCCGTGGGGGGAGGGCGAATTCCGATTGGCTTTTTGTCCCATGTAACCACCACAGCAGCTAATTGGGGGCTCTGGATGGGTGCGAGGGGCTGGTAACCCCTCCACCTTCAATTAATTACCACTAAACCACGTTTAAAATATCTAATTAATAAGCTTGTACACGAGGCCTCGGGGGGATAAGCATCTATGACGTCTCCTGGCGAAAACTCCATTTGGCAGAGCCAGGAGACTGAATCCTTACCCTCGGGGCTCCTCAAGAAACAACAAAAAACCACTGTGTGGCCACGTGGAATGTTCGAACGCTCACTGCGGAGGAGAGGCTGCCACTCCTCTGTCGGGAGCTGGACCGGTAGCGCCTGGATCTCTGTGGTATTCAGGAGGTCCGATGGACCGGCTCTGGCTCCTGCCACCATGAGAGGTGGACAGTCCTCTCCTCGGGGCAGCAGACTGCCAAACAACAGGGTGTGGCTCTTCTTCTGAATAAAAGAATGAATGAGGCGTGGGAGCGTGGCGGTGAGGTGTGGGAAGCTGTAAGCCCCAGGCTACTCTGGGCTCGCCTTCCCATCAACCAGAGGCGAAGAATGGTGGTAGTGGTTACTTATGCCCCCACTGAAAACGAACATCCATGGAGGGATGCAGGCAAGGCCGATGAGTCAGCTGCCTTCTATGACCTCCTGTCACAGGCGCTAGCTAAAGTGACCCCTCGGGATAGTCATCTTGGTCATGATGCGGGCACCTGGTCTGGAGTAATTAGAAGGCATGGACCAGATCAGCTCAATAACAACGGCAGGAGGCTGCTAGATTTTTGTGTAGCCCATGGGCTTGTAATTACCAAATGTGTTTCCATCATCGGCGCATCCACACTACATCATGGATGCATGCCAGGTCTAAGCAAGAACATCTGCTGGACTACAGTGACGGAACAGCGGATGCGGGCCCATGTCCTTGACACCAGGACCTACCATGGAGCTGATCTGCCCACTGACCATCGACTTGTCATCTGTAAGATGCACCTGCCATTCTTCCACTCCGGCGGTGGGTGTACACCCAGGAACCCATTCAAACCCACAGTGGCCTGGTCTCAGCTAGCTGATGAAAGTTGCAAGCGAGAATTTCATCATCGCTTGCGGCTGGGGTTGGCATCGTCCCTGACTCCTCCTGATGTCGAGGGGAAATGGACGAGGTTTAGGACTGTGGCTCATGCAGCTGCAATGGCCGCTTTGGGTACACAGTCCAGACCTTCCCAGAGACCCTGGCTGACAGAGGAGGTGTTCAAGCTGGCTGAGAAAAAGTGACAGGCCCCCTCTCATCGGCTACAGCATCCCATGTCGGATAATGAGGAGGCTTACCGCAGCCTTCGCTCGGACGTTCGGAGAGCCGTGAGGCGCTGCAAGGATGGGTGGTGGTCGCGGGTTGCTGAGGAGATGGAGTCTGCCTCAGCGGCCCGCGATCACAAATCGCTCTTTAATTACATCATAAAAGTAACCTGCAGCCCCACACCTATTACCATTTTAGGGGAAAGAACGGTGATCCAATCTCCGACCCCCAGCAACAGGTTTTCAGATTTGTTGAGCATTTCTGTGAGGTCCTGGGGGAGGGGAAATCCCTCACCCAGGAAAACAACATGGGACAAAGTGGTGATGACCCTACCGAGGCTGCGTTGCCTCAAATATTGGAGGAAGAAGTCACCCCCTGTGAGTGGCTGGCTGAGGTGCCATCTGTTGAGGAAGTACTGAAGGCGATCCAGAGTCTGAGACCAGGAAAGGCACCGGGCAGAGATGATCTCCTAAGCGAAATGCTGAGGGAGGGTGGCGTTTGTGCACAGACTGCCCTATATGACATCATAACAACAGTCTGGACCACTGGACGGGTTCCGCAGGATTGGAAGGATGCCCTGGTGGTCCCCCTCTTTAAGAAGGGGGACCGCACAGACTGTAACAACTACAGGGGCACCTCACTCCTCAGTGTGCCGGGAAAGGTCCTGGCAAGGATTATTCAGCATCGCCTTGCCAGGCACGCTGAGGAGAGGCTTGCGGAGCCCCAACGCGGTTTCAGGAAAGGGCGGTCCTGCACAGATGCCATATTTTCTGTCCGTCTGCTACAGCAGAGATGTAGGGAATTCCAACAGGACCTACATTTCTGCTTTATTGACCTGGTCAAGACCTATGATACCATCAGTAGGCCTGGGCTCTGGGTTGTTCTTCGTACTTTTGGAGTCCCTGACCCTCTGCTCAAGATCATTAAGGACCTTCATGATGGTGAGCGGGCCCGGGTAAAACTACGTGGCAGGGAGTCAGAGCCATTCCCTGTACACCTTGGGGTGCGACAGGGACAAGTGCTGTTAAGTGCTGTTAGCGAGTAGCAGCACCTATGAAGGCTACCGACACTGTGGCACACGAGGGGGCGGGTGGCCAGCACCAGGCCCGGCCGCCTTTGTCTCCCCCAGTGCTAGCGATGTTCACCGCTCTACTACACCGCCACACCGGCTACTTATTTGCGGCTGAGTCGGACTGGGGGAGGCCCAGGACCGGTTCAGATAACGGCCGTCACTGGGTGTGGGTTGAGCCGCGAGCGGGAGATAAACTCCCCAAACACCACCAACACCGAGAGAGAGGGGGGGCACAGGGGGGTGAATGAGAGGGGACCCCAGGAGGTGAATGAGAGGGGGACACAGGGGGGTGAATGAGAGGGGACCCCAGGGGGGTGAATGAGAGGGGACTCCAGGGGGTGAATGAGAGGGGACCCCAGGGGGTGAATGAGAGGGGACCCCAGGGGGTGAATGAGAGGGGACCCCAGGGGGTGAATGAGAGGGGACCCCAGGGGGGTGAATGAGAGGGGACCCCAGGGGGTGAATGAGAAGGGACCCCAGGGGGTGAATGAGAGGGGACCCCAGGGGGTGAATGAGAGGGGGTGGGGACCCCAGGGGGTGAATGAGAGGGGACCCTGGGGGGTGAATGAGAGGGGGCCCCAGAGGGGTGAATGCGAGGGGGCCCCAGAGGGGTGAATGAGAGGGGGGGGGACCCCCGTTACCTGAGACTGTTGCTCTGTGATCACCGCCACCGCCGCCACCGCCAGCAGCAGCAGCATCACGCGGCGCTCCATCAGCCTCACCCACGGGGTTATCTCTTCAGTGCCACACTCACTGATGCTGCTGCTCATGGCGACATTAAGCGGGAAGTGACATCATCAGGTGACATTTAAAGGGAAGTGACATCATCAGGTGATATTAACAGGGAAGTGACATCATCAGGCGACATTAAGAGGGAAGTGACATCATCAGGCGACATTAAAAAGGAAGTGACATCATCAGGCGACATTAAAAGGGAAGTGACATCATCAGGCGATATTAACAGGGAAGTGCCATCATCAGGCGACATTAAGAGGAAAGTGACATCATCAGGCGACATTAAGGGGGAAGTGACATCATCAGGCGACATTAAGAGGGAAGTGACATCATCAGGCGACATTAAGAGGGAAGTGACATCATCAGGCGACATTAAGAGGGAAGTGACATCATCAGGCTATATTAACATGTACGTGACTACGAGATTACGAGTTAAATGTTCTTGCTGTGGTTTTCACACCTGACGGTGATTGCTTGTGTTGCGGTCGAAACGTCGTAAGAATTTTATTGTTTTATATTTTTTATTATTTGATTGTTTCCCTTCTACGTGGTGACTTTACCGAAAGAACAAAGAATATGAATCGCTGCAGTCACGAAAGATTTAAATAATTAAATAAAATCGCAAGAGATTGTGCCGCGTGCAAAAGAGCGTCGCGTAACCGATCACTCAGGAGTGGGACCTGCGCCTTTAGTGGCACCCCGACGTGAAACGAGCACACGGCACCAACTGTCCCCACTTCCTGAAACGGAACGGGGTTTTACAATCGATGCACGTACAACTAGTCTCAATGATTGTTGCGCAACAGGAGTGCTTCAGGAGAGCATCAGCGAGGTTTTACTGTTCCTCCTCCACTGGAGGGGCGCAGGCTACAGCACAGCGGTTTACCACCAGGCACTCCGTAGTTTGGGTTGTGTGGACACAACATCGCAGGGCTGTGAGACTTCTTGAAGGAGGAGATGTGGCACATCAGCCTGTTGATGTTTTGATTTAAAGCTTTCGTTACTGCAGTAATTCATATTCTTAGCTCTTTCGGTAAAGTCACGTTGAAGGGAAACAATAAAATAATAAAATATATATTGTGTTTTATATATATTTTATTGTTTTATTGTTTCCCTTCAACGTGACTTTACCGAAAGAGCTAAGAATATGAATTACTGCAGTCACGAAAGCTTTAAATCAAGAGTCCATCTATGTTCTGAAAAGAGGAGGGGGGAGACGAAAAATTAATTTATGCTGTCTGAAAGCCACCGTAAGCGTGAACAATCAATTAAGACCTGAAATGGTTTATCAAATCCTTCCAATGATTGCTAAGCCAGAGTCCATTTTCTCGGTTGAAATTGTCTCTGTGTTTGTATATGTGGATAGCCTCATGAACAAATCTCTCATGGTAGCCAGATGGATTGCAAAGAACCTCTGTCTTGGAGAAGTCAATGTCATGTGAGCCTACTGAATTATAACAGTGATCTGCCATGGCCGAGGTGTTGGTCCTACCGTGTTTAAGGTCTGCTTTGTGTTCACGAATGCGGTCCGAGACATGGCGTTTGGTTTCTCCAATGTAACTACTACCACAGAGGCAACTTAGTTTGTAGACACCAGGGTACTGTATGTCGTGATAGCGAACTAATGCGTATAATGCTCCCACATTTATAATGAACTTAGGTGGGTGACTACTATTGATTCCCATGTCACAGGGCTATACCTAATACATGAAAACTTGAAATGAAACTTGAAATAACAGACTGTTGAGGCAATTGCTGTTGGCGAGTAACAGCGTCTATGAAGGCTGGCACAGCACACGAGCAGTGGGTGGCCAACAGCAGGCCCGGCCACCAGAGACCCACAGAGACCCACAGGGACACATAGAGACTGACAGAGACACACAGAGACCCACAGAGACTCAGAGAGACCGACAGAGACACACAGAGACCCAGAGACACCCACAGAGACACACTGAGATACACAGAGACCAACAGACACAGAGACTCATAGAGACCCACAGGGACACACAGAGACCCGTAGAGACCCGTAGAGACTCATAGAGACCCATATAGACCCAGAGTGACTGAGACTCGTAGACACCCATAGAGGCTCAGGGACTCACAGAGACCCATAGAGACACCATCACCACCACCATCATCACAACCATGATCATCACCACCATCACAACCACCACCACGATCACACTGCACCAGGTACTCATTTAAAGCCATGCCGACCCATGGAAAGCGGTTAAAATATTCGGCACCATTATTGGTCGAGAGTGGGGAGGAATTGAACTCTGTTCACTGGGTTCGCAACACAGCGTTGCAAGCCACCACACTGCCGCTCCCCATTAGGACGACGCACACGGCATTGACAACCTTGATGCTTCCGGTTGCTTGCGATGAAGTGACCGGTTGGCTCAGCCTGTCAAGAGCACCGAGCTGTACCGCTGAGACCATGGGTTTGAAATTCAGGCAACTTGCTTGTGATTTTAAACCAGGTTTCTCAAGCGTATTGCATTTGGCTAAATTCCAGCTGAGAATGAAAATATCAGTTTCACTCTCGTACGTGAAACATTTTTCTCGGTGGCAGGGCGTGTGGGGAGGTGCTGCTCATGACTGTTTGGGGGGGGGGGGGTGGTGGTGACACGTGGCCCCCCAATGATCCGATCAAAATCCCTCATTTCGATCGGATCATTGGGGTTTACAGTGAGGGAAAAAAAGTATTTGATCCCCTGCTGATTTTGTACGTTTGCCCACTGACAAAGAAATATAATTTTAAGAAATATAATTTTAATGGTAGGTTTATTTGAACAGTGAGAGATAGAATAACAACAACAAAATCCAGAAAAATGCATGTCAAAAATGCTATAAATTGATTTGCATTTTAATGAGGGAAATAAGTATTTGACCCCCTCTCAATCAGAAAGATTTCTGGCTCCCAGGTGTCTTTTATACAGGTAACGAGCTGAGATTAGGAGCACACTCTTAAAGGGAGTGCTCCTAATCTCAGCTCGTTACCTGTATAAAAGACACCTGTCCACAGAAGCAATCAATCAATCAATCAGATCCCAAACTCTCCACCAGTCAACGCCCTACCTGGTTGATTGACGTTGAGAGACCACGCCCACACACGTGATCGTCTAACGTGGTCGATTCCCACGTCTACACAGTAGGAATCGATTAATGAAGGTTCATTTTAGACCACTGTTGATTCCCATGTTATCCCAATGCAAATCGATTTTATTAGCCTAAGCCACAAATAAATCGGTTCCCATGTTATCCCAATTGAAATCGACTCATACATCCGTAACTCTATTATAATCGATTCCTAATGTTATCCCATTAGGAATCGGCGCGAGTATAGTTAATCGAAATTTAAATCGATTTTCTCTGCAGGTGACTTGGCGCAGCAGCCACGGTGAGCCGAGCCGATCGATACATCATCGGGTGCCAGGTTGTGGTGGACGTGGGGAGCGGTGGTGCAGTGGTTAGCGCACTGTGTGTGTGGGGAGCGGTGGTGCAGTGGTTAGCGCACTGTGTGTGTGTGGGGAGCGGTGGTGCAGTGGTTAGCGCACTGTGTGAGTGTGTTGAGTTTATGTGTGCGTTGGGGTGGTAGCTGTGAACACAGTGGGTACTGTGTGGTTAGTAGTGACAAGTACATTATTATACAGCAGTGCCTTAAACTTGTTATTAGATTCAAGTATAACGTTGCAATGACTATTGTTTGCTAAACATAACTTAACATTTTTAATGACTGAGTTGAGTTTATGCGTGCGTTGGGGTGGTAGCTGTGAACACAGTGGGGACTGTCTGTGTACTCAGTAGTGAGTAGTACATTATTATACAGCAGTGCATCTCATACACACACACACGCATCTCATACACACACGCATCTCATACACACACATCTCATACACACACACACATCTCATACACACACACATCTCATACACACACACACGCATCTCATACACACACACACATCTCATACACACACATCTCATACACACACACATCTCATACACACACACACATCACATACACACACACACATCACATACACACATGCATCTCATACACACACACTCACATGCATCTCATACACACAAAGACCCCCGTATAGCCTTAACAGACTCGGGGCAATGGCTGGGAGCCAACACCTATGAAGGCCGGCCCAGCACACGATGGGGTGGGTGGCCAAACACCACGCCCGGCCGCATTTGTCTCCCAAGTGGCGATGTTCACACCCTGCACCAAGTACTCATTTAAGGCTGAGTTGACTTCAAAGACGGAAACAGGAATACTTCTTCACAATTATGGCAAATCGCCTGATGAAGCTGGTTGTAATAATCAGTGAAACGTCATACTCTAATGGTAAATGTTCTGGGTTTACTATCCAATACACCAGTGTGCTGAAGCAGTAACTAATTGGCACGTTTTGTTTACGTGAAATATGCTCTGACTTTAACATAGCTATTTCTGTGACCAGTTACAAGCTAATCACTCAGCTATTTCAATGCTAAATTCTATGCTAATTCCTTTGTCAAGGGGTACCTCTGCGGATGTGTATACTTTAACTTAGCTATTTCAATGAGCCATTTCAATGCTAAATTATATGCTAATTCCTTTGTCAAGGCGCTTTGTGTTTTTCTTCTCACACAGCTTAAAGGTCGTGATCTAAGCGTGGCTTCTCTCACTCCAGCGCTGTCCTCCAGACAGTCTCGTCCCTTCACCTGATGAAGGCCGCTTGTGTTGTGGCCGAAACGTCGTGATTTTTTGTTATTTTATTTTCACCTACGTGACTTTACCCAATAGAACCAAAGAGTATATTTTATACTTTTTGCATTGTTTACAGTCTGGAAGCTACCCACATGGCAAATTTCAAGTTTGTTGCATGTCGGGAAGTATGCTAAACATTTCGAACAGACACACATATTCACAAATTTCGCTTTTATATATACAGACGAAGGGGTGGGTGACAGCACCACGCCCGGCCGCCTTTGTGTCCCCAGTGGCGATGTTCACACACCACAGCAATTACTCGTTTGAG